TATAAAATTCTATAAATTCGAGTATTATAAAAAGTATAAAGCATAAATTACCTGACTTATTAAAAGGTATTGTGCCCATAATTCAAGTGAAAGCATTTAAAATCGCTTTATGATATATGATGGAAAAAAAAAACGGCCTTAAGCGATACTATATATAGATAAAATCGCTAAATTGGATGCTCTGAGCCGTTACTATTAAATTAAACAATAACTAAATTAATGATCAATCAAAACTCAACCAAACTGTTTTTGACCATGTTCTTGACAGTAATTTCGCGCGCAATAGTAACTAGTGATGTTCCTTAATAAGTGAAGTCTATGAATTTTTCGGATGTCGTAGCGGCATTCGTGACATTTGCAAACAACGTGAGAAATTTTGTGACGATGCTGAAGAGGAGGACTTCGAAACGTTTCGTGCTGGGAGACACCACCGCCGAGGATCCCAGCACGTGGGAGACGGACGAGGCCACGGATGTGGTTCCAAACGACATCGGCCAGAAGTTCCAGATGACCCTGCAAACTGAGCCGCCTATTGGAGAAAGGGATGATGGCGTTCACGGTCCGAGTCAGGATAGTAGGTTGCTTCGGCCACCGAATACTGGGACTCTGCAGTAAGTCAACATTTTCTTAATTGATTGCAGAGTTGATTTTGACCAGGTCTCAACAGGTTGTTTCTATAGCCTATTAAACTCAATTAGTTAAATAACTTTCTAGGTTTCTTTCTTATGAATGTGTAATTCTGATAATCCTAAAAAGGCGGGAAATTGCTCTCAACCATAGAAATGTTGCGTTGAACACATGCACTCGCTCACAGCTACCTCAACGGAAGTGGGCATAGATAAGACATATATACTGAAGATATATATGTATAAATAAGATAAGACATATACAGCGTGTCTTTACAATCGCGACAATAAATGAACACACATATAGAGGATAACTTTTTACTATTCTATTAAATTTTAAATTTTTATTGTATTAAACATTTACTTTCTTTAAACATCAATATTTACAGAGTTATTAAATTTTCCAAAACAAAGAATCTTAGAATACCCTTACGTATAAAACTGTAACGTAAAGTTCATTTGTAAAGGTCACCAAGCATATGAATGGGTTGAATGAATTTAAAAGAGACAAAACATACTGTTAGAAGGAGAGGCTTGTAATGCGACGCTGTTGCAACGAATGAAAAAGTCTCTGAATTATGAATCAGTCAGTTGTAGTTGTATAGGATGTTACAAATTTTGTTTCGGTACTTAATTAGTTTGTTTGAAAAATATTTTTTTTTAATAATGGAGTTTTTTTAACATTAATATACTTTTATGATTATTGGCAAGTAGCGTTAGACGAGTGTTCATTTATTGTCGATGGTAACGACACGCTGTATACTGGAAGTTGGGAAGAAGCGTATTAAGATGATGGCTAGGTGAACGTTGCCAGATCAAAAATATTGCCGTATTTCATAATAAAAATTGTGATTATCAGAACATCCCGATTTATGGAATTAGCCGAATGCACCTTATATAAATATGAAGACATATCACATTTCCATGTAATAGGGCCACGTTATGGTGTCCACTGTTGCGCGAATGGGCAGGTCCGTCCGGGTAAGTACCACGACCCCACAGAAGACCGGCGTAAAGTAGAAGTGTTACACTTCTGCGTTTCGTCTGGTGAGTGAGGTAGCCGGGGCCCACTTTATTTAAAGGTGGCAACGCTTCTGCAACCCTACCGGTGTTGCAAATGTCCATGGGTGGTGGTTATCCCTTAACATCAGGTGATCCGCAAGCTCGTTTGCCACTTTGTGACATAAAAAAAAGACATTATACAATTTACATATTTCTTTGTAAATGAAGCACAGGACGTCTTATGACCCCGTGAAAATAAAATTTATTTATATCTCATATACCTACATCTACGGTGACATACATAGATCAGTGACTACGGTTACATAAATTCAGTGACATTATAAGCTTATGTTTTGAAGGTTTATATTTCTCTCGTTAAAACTTCAACAGGTCTGACAAGGACTCTAAAGATGAAGCTGGCAATTGGTAAACCATGTGATTATTACGTTAAGAGTAGTTTAAATCGCTTTTTTTAAATGTTTTGTTTTGTACCATAAGGCATTTAGTTAGTATTTATATATATGCTAATGACTTCATAGTATTAATTTAATGTTTATTTTTATTTTGTTACGCCAAAGAAGGATAACTTTTTAATAAAGACATTAAATATATCTTACCATGTTGGACCCAAGTAAGAACCCCTATTATATCCATGCCATCTTAATTTTTTTTTTATTTAAACTGATGGATATGGCAAATATGAAACTGCAATTCCCAGATTAAAATTCTGGCACCGTTAAAAATTTTTTTGATAATTTACTACACATTTTAATTTTTATCGTAAGTGCAGAGACTAAAACTAAAAAAATAAAATAAAATGACAAATGTGGGGAAAACTTTCTGCCACGTTTCATTGGACATAGTTAGCATTCATAATTTGTACATCCTTGAACATTGCTTTGCATTGTTTCGTATCGTATAATGTTGCAATAAGGTGCTGTCAAAATGGATGATATTACGTATATTTTCATAAAAGGTAACTTGTACTCAAATTATGCAAATGTGTTCCATCAAATATTGGTGTGGCAATCAGCCATTTAGTTTAGTGGTTAAAGCGTTTGGGCGCGAAGGAAGACATTGGTTCGATTTCGGCAGCGGCGAAAAACTTTTCTTCTTTTTTCTACAAATGTTGGTATATGTAATAATATTTTTCACTATATTTAATAGTAACATAGTGTAAAATATTATAATTTATAACAAATACAGTATGCATAAAAGAAATTAAATATGTTTCTTGCAAGTGCATAAATACTCGCTCATTGGTCCGTGTATTGTTGTATTTTATAAGGTTATTATTTAAGAGCGCTCGTTTATAGCAATAGGTATGATTTACTTGCGTTATTCAAAATTTAAACTTCCGTCTTCTTGATTTCGTGTCTATGGCAATACCTATTCACACGGTATCGGCCCAAAATGCAGCCACATGAATTGCACTGTCAGCAGCATTCATCAGGTCGTCTTGCGTGCAGTTGGTTGGGCAAGCAGATCACAACGTTAAATGTTCTATGGTTTGGGGAAAAGCACCACATTGGAACCCCAAGCTGGAACCGTCTGAGAATCCCCACCTGAACAGGTTCTTTTACTTCGGCCGAATTTCATCCGAACTCTTTTTAATGACTTCCAAGTCAACCATGGCATCTCATGTACAGGTGGTGGTTTCTGAGACAATGGGACTGAGGGGCTAGGGACATCGTCACTTTTTTGCCACAAGCTGTATTTCTCCTTCGATCGATCATTATCGTGAAGATGTTTATGAAGTGTGTGTTTCACGCAAAAAACTTCCGTAGTATATTTACACGATGCAATGACACGATGTATTTAGGCAGTGTATTTATCTAAAAAAAACATCGATGTATTTTCAGCATACACACATAATACATCCCTAGTAGTTATAGGATCTGATTTTCAATGAGAATTAGATGTTCAAAATGTAATACATAGAAGAAAAGCAATAATTTACATGTGCTACTGTGGAACAAAGGGCTCCTCTCTTCTCAAAGGAAAATTAATACGTAGTCCACCATATTTTCGAAATTTATTATTATTATCATCGAAAATATGTTGGTTTACTTACTTGTTTTTCTTCACCTCCACTGGGATAAATTGGTATTTAAAATTGCATAAATAAATTTATGCCAGAACCGGGGTCTGAACCCGGGGATATTCGAGTAATTATAGGGAATTAAAAGAGAGAAACATGTAGTGTTTAAAACGTTCAATGTTCATAGCAAACTTTTTTAGCCGATCTAAATGTCGATATTGAAGTGCGTTCACTCAATTAATATTGGGAACATCAATATTGATTCATATTAACTTCTATTTTGCATATCTTGTTATTATCGATAAATTGACCTCGTCCATCTCTAAGTAAACAATGCGGAAAAACATTATGTTATTGCATCAATTGTGTAATGACGGCAACTCTCAATTCAACTTTACGTACCTATATCCTTGTCTCACTTTATGTATTGCTTGAGAGGAAGTGAGATGCAATGATCGTATGATTTCGTCATGAGTATACCATTGGCGAGTAAAACGTCAGTGTACGAAAACAAAACTTCAGGCGGAGAAATGTTAGATTTTTGTTGTTTTTATAATAAAATAAACTTAAGTCATTCACATTCCTAGTTAATTATTTATTTCCACGTTATTCTTTTGTGAATAATGTATCCTGCGATGAATGGATTGTATTCAGAAGGCCCGTACAGGTTAGAATTTCCGATCTATATTTTCGCAGGCTTTTTTTATTATTTTCAAACAACATGCACGTAGCAATGACCGGATAATAATTCCTTCAGTTATTTATGCATACTTTTCATGTTAATTCTATTACCCCATTACATTTCGTTTGAATTGTTTAAATATGCGACAGCGGCGATTTCTCTTCGATTTCACTAACGGTATCACAGCAAATTTTTACAAAAGAATGTAAACTATTTGTGTAAATTTTAATAAAATATTCTTTCAGACCGATGTTCAAAAATTTTTATTATTGTTGACATATTATTGTTTAATAACTTTTTTTAATATATGAGTACTTAATTCATAAACATTTTTTTATTTTTTCCTCCTATTAATTTTTATTTTATGTTTTTTTTGTACAATGTCATATTTTTGACTTTCATATTTTTCTACCTTGCCCCAGTTTTCCTTTCCACTCTATGTATTTTATAATTACTGTTAGAAGGCTGAAACATTATTATTGTTATAATTTTTAGTGAAATAATTTAAACTATTTTTTCTAGTTATTATATAAAAAATAATTTTCAATGTGTGATATGGATGTATCTACAATATAAATTAAAAGTATAAATAAAATAAATTATATTTATTATTGGAAAAAACTAATTGTAACTGTTTTCTTTCTTTAAGGCCTTCTATGTCCCAGGGTACTGTCATCCATAGCCAACGTTTCCAAGAAAAAGATTTCACAGTTGCCACACCGGAAGAGTTTGTCAGGAGATTTCAGGGCACGAAACCCATTAATAAAGCAAGTATAAATTTTGTCACATTCATTCATTTTATAAATCAAATTGTCTCCGTAGTTTAAAATAGTTTAGTTGAATATGTTAAGTGATTTATTAACCTTTTACCTTAACTTTTATTCGGTAACCTTTTTAACCTTAACTTTTATTCGGTAATGAATTTCATCTATTAAAAAATTTAATTGACTTTATTACTTCTTATTTTATTAGGCTTATGTAATCTTATGATACAATGTTATTTAATGTAATATTAGGGTAACAATTCCTTGAGTTTTATGTAATGTTGTAATAATAAATTTATGAAAAATATTTACTGTAGTTAATTATTTAAAATTTTCTTTTAGGTGCTGATAGCAAATAATGGTATAGGAGCAGTCAAATGCATGCGTTCTATACGAAGATGGTCATATGAGATGTTCAAAAACGAACGCGCTGTGCGTTTCGTTGTTATGGTGAGTTCAATACAGATACAAAATGAATTCACAATAGTTAATATAAATTACTGACATGTTAGAAGACCATTCACTCATATTGATGGGTGAATTACATAGATATGTACACAACATATTACGCATGTAAAGTATAACATATTTTGAAGAACTTTTGTGACTTTAATATTTTGTCCTATTAGCATGGTTATAAATAATGTTAATTAAGTTGACAAAGAAACTGATTAGTGTATAGATAAGTTAAAATAGTGGACCTAATGTCGTATTTGCTTCATTTGGACAGGTTACACCAGAAGACTTGAAAGCAAATGCAGAATACATAAAGATGGCTGATCATTATGTACCCGTGCCTGGTGGCTCGAACAACAACAATTATGCCAATGTGGAGCTAATTGTGGACATTGCTGTCAGGACTCAAGTGCAGGTACATTTTTTTTATTTTAAAACATCTATGAATATATGTTTGCAGAGTATTAATATTTAGTGATAAACACTAGAATGACAGTGAGTAATCTTTTCTTATAATGAATTTAATGTAAAATTATTGTATATCATAATGTTGAATTTACATTTTTACATTAAAATATTGTCAATATTTAAAAAGAATAAGAAAACCTAAGCAAGCTAGTTACCAAATTTAAATGTAGATTGATGAAGAAGATCAAGCTCAAAGAACTTTGTGTGTTTGGACATATAAAATTTGTTGTTTATCTCTTTGTAGATAATTTACAAGTTATGTATGAACATTAATATAGAGTCTTTTGCATCAAATATCCCTTCTTAGTGCTCATCATATTATGTATCAAGAGTCCTTTGTAAAATGATAACTTCTAAACTAATAATCTTTAAAATAATTACTTTGAATAACTGTAATAATTAGTGATCTTCATTTCTTGTCTCAATAATTATTACCGGAAAAATTAAATTGAGAAACAATTTTTTCAGCCTAAATCCGATAAAGATCCCTTTGGAACACTTTGTAAAAATTTTGACACACCACCTTAATTTGTGCAACATCTGTCAGTAAGAATTTTACTATGCTAATAAGGGACAAGTTCTATAATTTTCGTTGTTGAAATTTTTGTTTGCCAGGCGGTGTGGGCCGGGTGGGGACACGCTTCAGAGAACCCAAAGTTGCCAGAACTATTGCACAGGGCAGGGGTGGTATTCATCGGTCCCCCAGAGAAGGCGATGTGGGCATTAGGCGACAAGATTGCATCCTCCATCGTAGCGCAGACAGCAGACATCCCAACACTGCCATGGAGCGGGAGCGGTGAGTAGAGATGGGTTATCTAAAAGTGGCCAGTGGATTAAGGGAAATGTCTAGAATAGCGACACATCCTTTTTTTTCACTGACAAATATTTTTAATCAATAGTGAAATTCTAGTGATACTAGAATTAACAAGTAAAAGTCACAGGTAATACTTACATTTCACGTGAAAATTAGTTGTTAAGAATAGCAGACAGTAGATATAGATGGGGCATTAATATATAAGTATCTAACCCTACTGTGATATTACACTGTTTTTTCAAAGATAAATCCTATATCACACCATATGAAATGGAATTTAGCCATAAACCCCATACAGTAGTGATTTTATTCTGCTATACCACTAGGGCATTAATTATTGGCTATAATTAATACTCAATGCCACTTGCATCATTATGAGGTCAATTAACATTAAAAGACAATGGTAGGATAATTTGTTTTTTATTTTTGTATTTAATGTGTATAAATGAAAAATTATGATAAACCAACATATACATGCTCTTTTTTAAGCATTGAATATACTTTCAGAACTAAAGGCACAATACAACAGCAAGAAAATCAAAATATCATCGGAGCTGTTTGGCAAAGGGTGCGTGTCAACGCCGGAACAGGGATTGCAAGCAGCACATAAGATTGGTATGTATTTAATGTTTATAATTTACCAATTGTAGTCATTTAGAAGTTTCACTTTTCAAATCAAATTGCATCTAGTTAAATAAAACTACAATATCATACATACTAGTCAAAATATTCCAAGAGAAGAACAATAACAAATCCAGTTATAAGTTGAATGTATATAACACTATTGTTATATATTTTTTGCAATTAGAAGTGGAAATTATTAAAAAAAAACAACACAAATCACAAACACATCTTTTAGCGATCTACTTTGTTAACAATTCACATTAAAATTATCCAACTATTAATCACAACCGACAGTTAAAAGAATACTTTCAGGTGAATAACAGGGGAAATAGGAAAAATATAAGTCTCACAGCCCTTGAACTATGTTGCAGCTGCAAGTGACATCTAACAAATGGACCAAGGTGGTCTGAGGCGCTATTTATACTGGTTTAAAAAATTATGCTGGTTTTCCCTTATAATACTTGATCAGCTGTTTTACCAAACTAGTATTATTAATAAGGTACTAGTTTCACTAGGCAAAGATATAAATTGTATTTTTTTTTTGTTTTTTCGATTTTAAAAACATTGCCCTTACTTTAGGATAACATTATCCTCTGTTGTAAGGATGTTTTACGAACATAAATGTCACTCGGACAAACACCCAGATGCAAAACAACTATCTGTGGGTAACACAAATAGTTGTCCCGTGTGGAAATCGAACCCACGACCCCAACCGTGCCACCGTGATGCCAACCATGTATTGTATTATATCTGTGTTGTATTTATTAAAGCTTAAACATTTTTCTTCAGGATTTCCAGTAATGATCAAAGCATCAGAGGGTGGCGGCGGTAAGGGTATCAGGAAAGTGGAAAACCCTGATGACTTTGCCAATATGTTCAGACAGGTGAGGCAAAAATAATTATGTGATAGGTATTTCATGTTATTTGTGCAATTTAAAATGATTGTAAACCACCAATTCATATCATGGTTAGTGATAACATTCGTCCATTGACTCCCAGAAGCAGGGGTGTTAAAGAAGTGGGTGTTTTAACTGTGGTAGGACCACTCAATAGTGTTCACTGTTCACGAATGGGCAGGTCCGTCCAGGTAAGTACCACAACCTCACAGAAGACCAGCGTAAAGTGGAAGTGTTATACTTCTGCATTTCATATTAAAATAATAAAATATGAAATAAGTATTAAAATAATATTGCGACTATAAATTGAGATGTAAGCTATCTTATATTTCAAGTTGGATCAAACTGCACACAATGTGCAAATTTGGTTAAAATCGGTTCAGAAGTTTAGGTGTCCATCGCGGACAAACAAAGTGACACGTAATTTGTACATATTAAGATGTGGTGTAGTTAGTTAATATAATTTCAAACAATATTTTTTCTGACTCTTTGCAGGTGCAAGCGGAAGTCCCCGGATCGCCAATATTTGTGATGAAGCTTGCAAAGTCTGCTCGACATTTGGAGGTGCAGCTCTTGGCTGATCAATATGGTGAGCTGGGCACCTTATTCTTTCTTGGTTTGAGTTTGTTTCCTTGTTGCTTTGAAAGCTGTGCATGTTTATACTTCCAGGTAACGCCATCTCTCTGTTCGGCCGTGACTGTTCCATACAGCGGCGGCATCAGAAGATCATAGAGGAGGCACCGGCGGCAGTCGCTCAGCCGGACGTCTTCATTGAGATGGAGAAGGTATTCTAAGTTCAATAGATAATTATTGCAGGGAGGTGGAGAAGAAAGACGCTCTTGGTCTGTTCTGTTATCATTCTGAGCATATCTGGAAGTGCCCTGTTTCTAAAACTGGCCCATATCTACAATGAGTATGGTATGACGAAGCATTACGGGTGTGAAGCGCACAGATTTGCTTTGGCCGATCTAAGTGTTCCACTCGCTAACACTACTATGGATCCAGCTTCTACTATTGGAAAAATGTTGTGTGATGAATAGTGTTTTCTAGTAGTTTCTATATATCTATAATATATATATTTACAAAATAAAAGTATGTTTGTATAGTACAAGCTTTGCTTAATTTGGGCCTAGATAACGTTTTGTAAATTTTTACAGAACGTTATCTATTGTTTAGTATTATCTATTATTTGTCCTGAAATGTTTACTGTTTAGTATTATTTATCATTTGTCCACAGGCCGCCGTCCGCCTGGCGAAGATGGTGGGCTACGTGAGCGCCGGCACGGTGGAGTACCTCTACGACCCGAGCACAGGCTCCTACTACTTCCTCGAGCTGAACCCTCGGCTGCAAGTGGAGCACCCCTGCACGGAGATGGTGGCGGACGTCAACCTGCCCGCTGCGCAGTTGCAGGTGGGTGCGGGCTCTTTAAGATTTATAATTACTGACGTTACTACTGCAAAACGCTGTTGGTGGCCTAGGTTACAGACAGGGGTGGGGGGAATGAGTGTCAATAAAAGGAGATGTGTATTGCAGTGTGCACATTAAATTTTTATTATTATTCCTATCATTTAAAAGCCCATAGCCCCTTTTTTTGGGAAGAATCCTTTATGGATCCCTTGCCATGGAGGAGAGTGGTGGGAGCATGTGGGAGTCCCGGGCAGAACAGGTAACCTCTAAAGACTCTGAATCAAGTTACTAAACTGACATAAATATTATCAGATCACATATCTGATATTTTTTATAATGCATTCACATTGTAAATTGTTTACTTAAAACACTCATCTCTTCTTATATATATATATATAGTCACTTATTTCTTATATGTATATTATGCTCCTTCAGTAATGGGGATATCAATTTGTCTATAATCAATTTTTAAATGATGTCACCAGATTGCCATGGGCCTGCCGCTCTATCACATCAAAGACATCCGTCTGCTATACGGGGAGTCCCCGTGGGGAATGTCGCAGATCGCCTTCGACGAGCCGAAGCAGCGACCTTCACCCTGGGGCCACGTCATTGCCGCAAGGATCACATCGGAGAATCCAGACGAGGGTAAGTATTTGAAAAATGTTTCATACGCTTAAAAACTTTATTTGTCATTTGCTTTCATTTCCTTACATATTTGAGTATTCATGTGTCATAGAGTATGCAAAAATTTGAAGTATATTTTATTTAAAATATTTCCTTTTAATTTTTTTACCTTTGTTAGTTAAAAATCTTCAACACTATGTCAATACATACTCTATGTCATGAAATCAACAAAAATAAATATAAAAACTCTTCAAATTCACAATTTTGTTCACTGACAGGTTTCAAGCCTTCTTCTGGAACAGTCCAGGAGCTGAATTTCAGGTCGTCTAAGAATGTTTGGGGCTACTTCAGTGTGGCAGCTTCAGGAGGCTTGCATGAGTTCGCTGACTCACAATTCGGTCACTGCTTCTCCTGGGGTGAGACGAGGGAACAGGCTAGGGAGTAAGTCTCTTATTAAGATATTAAATACTTTTTGTCAGATGTGTTTTTAATGCTTGATGACTCGGTAGCGCAGTTGCTAAGTTATTGGCTTCCGCGCTCGGAGTGTGGTTCGATTCCCACTCAGTATTTGTGTGACCCACAGATAATCCGGATGTAGGTGTTTATTCCCGAGGAGGGTCGTATAAAACCTCGCCAAAAACCATTACAACATGTGCTGAACCCACCTAGGTGGGATAAGGGCAGGAGGATGATGATGATTTTAGGTTTTATTATTTTCGAATTACTAGAGTTAATGTGGTTATTCTAAAACATGCTGGTTGAACCTTAGATATTGTGCACAACGCAACTTTCTAACGACCATCAACTATTGACTTTGCTAAAAATATTCAAAGATAAAAATGTTGACCATAGTGCGATGTAATTTTCTTTCACTGATTCCTGTTCATTTTTTTTCTAGGAATCTAGTGATAGCCCTAAAAGAGCTGAGCATCCGTGGGGACTTCCGGACTACGGTGGAGTACCTCATCACATTGTTGGAGACCACTGCCTTCCAGGAGAATAACATTGACACCAGCTGGCTGGATGCTCTCATTGCAGAGAGGGTACACTATTAATTATATAATAAAAAAAGTAAAGTATCAGCCTATACATGTCCCACTGCTGGGCAAAGGCCTAGTCCACCGCGCGGCCTCACTGCGGATTGGCGGACTTCACATATCTTCGAAATATATTTTTTGTTATTATTTCGAAAATATGCATGTTTCCTCACGATGTTTCCCTTCACCGCAGAGCACGTGATAATAATTCGGCACTTAAAATTCAATTAAAGTTTATTGGTGCCGGCACGGGGGATCGAACTCAGATTGCTCGAGTATATTGAATTAATGGCGAGCGCCCGGACACTGAGCTATCACGGCTCAATTATATAATATTACTTAATACATGTGTGTATGTTTGTATTGTGAGAAATATAATATTGGTTAAATACATTGCATTACAATTTGCGCATTGGATTCTGTCGTATTAACGAAAATTAGAATTGCATGATGAATTATGCTCCCTTGCTATTTCATTAGATACTATTTTTATTTTGAATTGCAAATTATTTTGCACTTTAAGTTATTATTTTTTACTGCTGTACTGATGTAAATGTGGTTGGTAAACACTCATCATATTTCCCACTCACATATAGACACACCTGTTAGTTCTTTTCTATCCCAACCTAAAATAAACAGTAAAAAATTATTTTTAAGACAATGCCCCTCAACTTTTTTTTCAGGTGCAATCTGAAAAGCCCGACATCATGCTGGGCGTGATATGCGGCTCCATACTGATCGCGGACAGCATCTTCACCACTCATTTCCAGGAGTTCAAGAGTGCCCTCGAAAAGTAAGCACCGTTAGACTATCGAACTGATCAACTAAATAATTAAACAGCTGATTTTACGTCCAAAAAGTGTAAGTTTTGATTGGACGTGAGAACTAGTTCCATTGACCGTGATGATAGGTCCGAAACTAGTCAGTTATTACACCAATTGGACCTGAGCTCAGCTGTTCAATTATTTTTATTTATGATACTTTTCATTGAAATTGTTTATAATTAAACCATCCAATTCCGAATGATGGTGATAATAATATTAATTTTTGTATTATTATAGGAGCTAGTCCCATCCCCTAATTAACATACACTTAGATTACAAATACAAGAAGTTTCATTTAGTTTACAATATGAATATTTACTAGGCGACTGTCCCAGACGTCGACAGACTGCTTAAGCTGAACAGAATCGACGAGCATGCAAGGTTCCATGATCGCATGTGAAATAGGCGAAAGGATGTGTAAATAAAATACATTAGCACTTGTTTGTGTACCTATCCCATTTGCGAAATTACAAGTGCTTTTTAAGGCCTTTAACATGCATTGATATTGCGTTTCAGGGGTCAAATCCAAGCCTCCGGTCAGCTGTCTAACTGCGTGGAGGTTGAGCTGATACACAGTGGGCACAAGTACCGCGTTCAGGCCACCAAGTCTGGTCCCACTTCCTACTTCCTGGCGATGAACGGCAGCTTCAAGGAGTTGGAGGTGCACAAGCTCACCGATGGCGGTGAGTGGAAAATATGAAGTTCAATAAAGGGAAACGAATGCTATGGAGTATGGATGTGGATGTGGAAAAAGAAGTAGAGGACCATGGTCTGAATCTCGGAAACAGCTCCAATTATTTCATGGAATTGGTATGCAGGAGGTTTAGGGGGTGATGGATTAGAATAGAAAACGTCGTTTTATCCGTGTTTTCAGGCAATGAAAAATATCATTAGAATATGAAACTTTTGAAATTTCACCACCATTTACATGGTTATCGGTAATCAGGTGACCCCGAATTAGACGATTCCAGATGATTTTTTCCCCCTTTTTAATTTTTTTGGAGTCTAGATGATTTTTTTTCTATTTTTTATTTATTTCCCTTTCTTTTTTAAGTTTCTTCTTTTGTGAGAAAAAAAATTCCGAGCAAAGCACGGTCATCCAGGTACTAAGTATTTATATGCAAATAATGTTCGTGGGAGAGACCAATAATTAGTGATAATATGCAATTTGTTATTTTTTCTGTTAGAAAATTACAAGTGCAGTCAATAAACGTTGGTTGTACTGTTCAAAGCGTTTTAATAGCCGCTCACGAATCCCTAAAACAGCGAAGGATATTATAGATATACAGGGAGGCTTTTCTAAGTGTATCCATTTTTGTTTTATTAAATTCTAGACATAAATAATGTTATATAAAAATGATAAATATTTAAATCACTCGTAATTAAATAAATACAATTACTTACTTAAAAAGTACTACTTACTTATCTTAAAAACTGCGTCATTTATACGCAACTCATTTATTTTACGCGCGATCATTCGTAACTAACACGCACACAAGTTTGTTTCAAAACTATACGACGCATTTATGAATGACTTCCGCATTGTCAACAAGTTCTGTTTTTTAGGAAATAGAATGTTATATAGTTTGTTTTTATTTCAATAAACGATTATACTACCGAGTCTGAACCTGCAGCGTGAATTTGGGCACCTTCAAAAAAGCCACCCTGTATAATGTTTCTGTACGGCAGGCACCCTGCTGTCGGTGGACGGCGCCTCGTACACCACGTACCTGAAGGACGAGGTGGACAAGTACCGCATCGTGATCGGCAACCAGACGGTGGTCTTCGAGAAGGAGAAGGACCCCTCGAAGCTGCGCGCGCCCTCCGCCGGCAAGCTCATCAACACCCTCGTCGAGGACGGCGGCCACGTCGACAAGGGGCAGCCCTATGCCGAGATCGAGGTGCTTGCAACCCTATTTCAAAGCCACCCAGCAAGTTGACTCGATGGCAGCCCTGGTCGCGGTTTATTCGAGCAATCCGAGTTCGATTAAGTGCTGACTTATCACGCGCTCAGCGTGAAGGGAAACGTCGTGAGGAAATTGCTTATTTACGAAATAATAAAGAAAATATTTTGTATGTATGTGAAATCCACAATCCGCTGTCCTGATGCCCTCTTTACAGAGGAGGCATTCGCCCAGCAGTGTGGACATTTTTAGGCTGTTAGTTTTCTTTACTTGAGCTTGATGATTAGTGGCACCGAACGTGGACGTATGATTGAATATCTCCATGCAAACTAAAATTTGTGTGACAAATATTTCGCACATCCCTGGTAGTAATGGCCCATTTCTGTAATTATAGTATGTCATATGTATTTATGTGAACTATCAATCCATAATGGTTAAATAAAATTATTTTAAATTGGTGTACTCCACCATGCATCCCCATTAGTTTTGAACCAGTTTTTATTTAGAAATTTAAAGTTTTTTATAGTGCTAATGCTGAAGACGTGGGTTCGATTCCCACAGCGGCGACAATCTTTTCGCACTTTTTCTACAAGTTTTAATGTTTAATCTTAAGTGCAGAGATTACCACTGTAAAAAACTTTAAATTTCTAAAAAGCAATGGCGACATCTGTAGTTCGAGTTATCGTTGTAAAACGATATTCGAAATTGTTTGTATTCTGGAAAGGATATAACAATAGATGCGCCAAGCATTGTATCAAATGCTAAAAAATAAGGTAGATAAAAGCCGTTAAGATTTTCGTCGGTGTGGCAATCAGCCGTTTAGGTTTGATTTGTTATTATTTCGAAAATATGTTGGTTTCCTCACGATGCTTACTTCACCGCCGAGCACGTGATAACACAGTACTTAAAATAAACAATTTCATTGGTGCTGGCACCGGGGATCGAACTTAGATCGACTTCGAACTTTTAATACAATATACTCATTGTATTAAAAGCGAGTGCCGGTACAATAATTGTCTAACCTCTAACGGCTAACTATAATTGTCTAAGTTCAGGAATGCTTAAAATAATCTCAAATTAAATAAAACATTTTGTCTTTTATCTTGGCTTTTGACGATCAGGTGATGAAAATGGTGATGACCCTCCTGGCGCCGGAGTCGGGCAAAGTGACGTGGTCGCTGCGGCCTGGAGCTGTTCTGGACATGGGCGCGCTCATGGGGACCCTCGGTACTTCTTATTTCTGAACACCTAACACAAGCTTTTCTGATTAATCAAGATTAATCGAGCAAAAAAAAGAAAAAAAGGACATTTGCAAAAGCATTACTATTTAGTTAACTCTTTTCCGTCGAATCTGTTTTCAAATAAATTGTAACATTTACCAAAAAACCTGTGTTATGTACGGACATATATTTCTTTAGCGTAAAAAAGAAAAGTAACTAATTTTTCTCTTTGGAAAAAAAATGAATCCGTTAAAGAGTTTAATTAAATAACTTGAAATTATAGATAAATGTCAAAAAGTTGTTATTGGTTACAACGGTTACATCGTGAAGTTGGTGTCGGTTTTAGGCAATAAATGTTTTTTGAATTGAGGCACAGACAAATATTCGCACTATGATAAAGTAATGCGGCATATTCTGCTGTTTCTTGAATTGGTAGGCTCGTCCCGGGAAGTACCACGACCTCACAGGAGACGTACGGAACGACAGACGAGTGGAAATATCGGCCATCAATAGATGTTGTCCATTAGAGATTTTCTTGTACAATTTAATAATCACACACAAGAAATAAAGGTAAAAAGTTTAGTTTAAGTTTTAAATTGTTTCTATCCTCGTGATGCCTCTTGAACAGCGCAAATAACTTAGTCATTGAAGTTTGTACCAATATAAAATGAGCCATGGTACAATAGGTGGTGTTGTGAGGGGCACATTGTCATTGTTATGCATTTGATTTGTGCTTTGGCCAATTATATGTATGGCCAACAGATGACTGTTCCAGATATGCAGTCTATAATTTGTGCATTTAAATCATTACAACACAGAATCATGTTATAATATACTGGTGGCAATAAGTGAAATGCATTTATGTCTATCTTTAATTACAGAACTGGACGATCCCTCGCTGGTAACAACAGCTCAACATTACAAGGGACAGTTCCCTCTAGAGGATAACCCACAGCTCTCCGAGAAGCTCAATCATGCCCACAACAAGTACAGGGCCATATTAGAGAATACGCTATCAGGTAAGTACACTACAATGACATTTTAATTAAAATAAAAGTAAGAAGAACAGAATCATCAAACAACTTTAAGTCCTGTTGTAGTCTGTGTGAGCACGGACCAAGGATATCACTCAATAGACTGCAACATATTGCACACCACTAGTGATGTCCTTGTGCATAAAAATATTTATATTATTGTTTTTATTTTTTTAATCAAAGAGAGCATCTGTACTAAATGGAATATTTCTATATACATCAGTGGAGCTTTTCGATATAATTCTCAAGCTAACACCTAAGATTGCTGTGTACCTTTAGTTATTAGTTCTTATTAATTTTGTAGGTTACTGCTTACCGGAGCCATACAACACGCCCCGCCTCCGCGAGGTGGTGGAGAAATTCATGCTGAGTCTACGCGACCCCTCGCTGCCGCTCTTGGAGCTGCAGGAGGTAATTATATGTTATACGTCGGGCGAACATGTGCTTTCGTCCATCCTTTGTCTCTTTCCTCAAAAAAAGAACATTAAACATGTCTGTTTTGCGAACAGGTGCTGTCCATCGTTTGTCTCTTTTCCTCCAAAAAAAATTTTACTTGTCTGTTTCGCGAACAGGTGCTGTCGTCCACCTCCGGCCGCATCCCCGTGGCGGTGGAGAAGAAGGTGCGGAAGCTGATGGCCCTTTACGAGCGCAACATCACCAGCGTGCTCGCCCAGTTCCCCAGCCAGCAGATAGCCAGCGTCATCGACCAGTGAGTGGCCAGATGGCTTTGTTTTTTAGCGGACCTATCTTGTTGGATATAACTGTTTGTATATTAGTTATTTATATAGAGTTCTTGCATTCTTTAAACTGATTATTCTTAAAATGTAGATGTTAACTGATCAGCTGTCAAATGGCTTTTCAAATTTCATTTGAGTTGCCAAAAGCATTATTAAACTCTCCGAGTTGAATGAACCAGAATGTTCTTCTTAATGATAAGAATAATTAATTCGAAGCGCCTGTTAGTCGCCTAGTTTTCGATATTTCGTATATTTCTTCCATTGTTAGTTCCTCTTCATGTCATGTCGCGACACGTGTCGTGACATAACACGTGCCGTGACATGACACGAAGAGCAGCTTTTGCCATTCATCTTCTTTTCCAGCCACGCGGCGTCGCTGGCGAAGCGGGCGGACAGAGACGTGTTCTTCATGAGCACTCAGGCGTTGGTCGTTTTGGTGCAACGCTACAGGTGCGTTATATAATTAACTAACTACCCGCCCCGGCTCCGCACGGGTGCAATGTATTACACATATAAACCTTCCGCTTCAATTACTCTGTCTAGTAAGAAAAAACCGCATCAAGATAATGCGTAGTTTTAAAGATCTAAGCATACACAGGAACAGACAGATAGCGGGACGACTTTGTTTTATACTATGTAGTGATATTACGTCGTGGAATAACCTATACCTTCTGCTGTTGCACAAATGGGCAGGCTCGTCCGGGGAAGTAAGTGTTATTCGTTCGCCATTCGTCTGGTGAGGAGTGAGGTAATCGGGGACTACTTTTTTTTTTGAGAGTTTCAACGTATCTCCAAGCCTTCGGGTACGCAGTTGTCCATGGGCACGTTAAAAAAAGTTGTTAGATATTTTCCAATGTTGCTTGTTATCTTCTTCTTTTTCATGTCCTTATTCCACATACGGTCAGTAACAAAAGGGAGTGCCAAATAGATTAAATATGTATGATTATTTGTCTGATATAAATTCATAAAACGCGAAATAAAATTTTTGTTGTATTTTTCTGTCAAATTGATTTTTGTTAGATTCAGATTTTAGTTTTATTCATGCTCTGTAATATATAGTTATTCGTAGTTAATTATAACATTCAATAGGTCAACATATATTTTATTTGAACAAAATTGCTGTTGTGTATTTTAGAAATTGTAATTCTGTTGTTTTGTTCTTTAAGGAACGGTATCCGGGGTAGAATGAAGGCCGCCGTCCACGACCTTCTGAAGCAATACTACCAGGTCGAGAGCAATTTCCAACTTGGTAAGTTGAATAAGTTTTAATGGAGGTAAGTTCTGTAAGTTTTAATAGAGGTAAGTTGTATAATTGTTAATAGAGGTGCATGATAGCGTTACAGGTACGACATTAACCTAATTAGCTGTTGAAACCCTGCGGTAAAAACCGTCCATGTGCGAGTCGTACTCGCTCACGGAGGGTTCCGTACCATTATCTATAAAAACGACAAAAAATCGTGTCTGTTGTATGGGAGCACTTAAAATTTTTTTTATTCTGTTTTTTATTTTTTTTATAGTGGCAACAGAAATACATAATCTGTGAAAATTTTTACCCTTTGGGTACGGAACCCTAAAAATATTTAGAGAGACATTTACGGATTCTATACATATATTAATTCATGTACTAAATTATTTGAGTGAAACTTATTACACAAGTAAGAGTATTGAATTGTTTTTTTTATCACTTTATACTTAAGAACTCATAGCAGGTTAAGGGCTTTTTGAAAGAATTTCCTACGGGCCTCGCGCTTGCTTGCCCATAGCTGGAATGGGTAGAATATAGTAAATAGTATATTATATGTCTACGGACGGCGGTATTCACTTAACATCAGGTGAACCGTCTGCTCGCTTGACACCTTTTCGCATAAAAAAAATTGTAAGAAAACTGAGTGTTTTTTTATCCTTCTAGGCTCTTACGACAAGTGCGTGATGGCGTTACGTGACCGCTACAAGGATGACATGCAAGCGGTAGCCAACATCATATTCTCTCACAACCAGGTTGCCAAGAAAAATCTGCTGGTATGTATCCCTTACCATCTGTTTGACTATCTCAAATCACTTTGGAAAAAGTCGACGCAGGTACCCCATCTAAACAATGCAAAGTACTACTTGGTTAGTTTTTTTTATAAAGGCTTGCCTAATAGATAGTTGTTTCGCATTTGTCCAGGTGAAATGATGAAATGTTTTTAAAACGTCCTTACAACAAAGAATAATGGTTCGGCGTCGGGGGTCGTGGGATCGATTCCCACACGGGACGTGTATTAGTGTGACCCACAGATAATTGTTCCGGATCTGGGTGCTTGTTGCCCAAGGAGGGTTGTAGTCAGGTCCTTGCCATAAAAACATAGCCTAATCCGCATACAACATGATTCACGTGTCGTGCCGTCCCCATCTTGGTGGGATAGGCACGTTCAAAAAGGTTAAACGTTCTTGTTTATTTGCATGTTTCAAAAGTGTTCTCGTGTCGGTTCGAATTGGATCAGCTGATTGGCAATCGCGCAGGTGACGCTGCTCATCGACCACCTGTGGTCCAACGAGCCGGGCCTGACGGACGAGCTGGCCGCCACGCTCAACGAGCTCACCTCGCTGCACCGCGCCGAGCACAGCCGCGTGGCGCTGCGGGCGAGACAGGTGCGCTCACGCACACTTGCACGCACGACTGCACGCACACACACGCGCACGCACACTTGCACGCACGAGTAGGCTTACACGTGTGTGCAGTCTCGCACGTGTAAGTGTGTACGTGTATGCGTACCTACACGGATTACACGCACAACTACACGGATATTAACACGAACACGCACGCATAAGTATGCGTACACGTGCAAACAGTCTCGCACGCATATACGTACACAAACACTTGTTGTATCACAACAAAACCATTTACGGAAACTGGGAACCGCCATTGTCCATTTGTTGTTTTATTATTTGCAGTAATGTTTTATATACTGTGATTCCATTAGTTTGTTATGTTTGCATTGTGGTTAGACCGTGAGTAGACGTCTCTACCCTTCGTTCCCTGCAGGTGCTGATAGCCGCTCACCAGCCGGCCTACGAGCTGCGCCACAACCAGATGGAGTCGATATTCCTGTCGGCCGTGGACATGTACGGCCACGACTTCCACCCGGAGAACCTGCAGAAGCTGATACTCTCCGAGACCTCGATCTTCGACATCCTGCACGACTTCTTCTACCACACTAACGCTGCGGTGAGTGCCAGCCTTCGTACAGCATACGCATGCAGTTATAAAGCATACTCGCTCGTTTTAACGCGACAATCGCTGCTAATGGACGTTTGCAACACCCGTAGGGTTGCAGATGCATTGCCACCTTTTAAGAAAGTGGGCCCTGGTTACCTCCCTTAGTATAACTCTTCTTGGTTTTACCCCGAACGGATCTGCCCATTTGTGCAACAGCGAAGACGGTTGCGGTGCCCCTATCACTATAAGTAGCATATTATGCGAATTGACCATGCGTGTGTAAGTACGTTATATGCTCCTAGACCATGCGTGTCCTCGAAATTAGCGCCTATTTCAAGCCTTAAAGACTAAAATAATAGGAAAGTGTTATGCATTTACTGCATACTAGATAACGCAAGATCGTGTCATACAAAGAACAAACGTGTATAGCAAATACACTACTTTTAGGATATTTTTTATGTTCCGGAGTAATAATGAAGAAAGGAGGAAATAAAATATATTTATTTACCCATACAAAGGACGCAAACAACAGAAAACTAAATTTAACAAAAAAGAAAAGAGGACAAAAAAATTGATATAGCAGTAAATTAAAATAAATACAAAGTTTAAACTTCAAAACTATGCTGTTAATAAAAAAACAAAGGAAAAATATAGTCTTTAACGTATTATTCTATAGGAATTTCTACAAACTGTTTTTGAACTTTGACTTTAAAAGAATTTTCTATATTTAAGAACGTAGAAGCGTGTACATCGAGTACGATGTTTGCAGTATCTGAAAACGATAAAGGCAGTTATGTTTTATCCATTTATATTTATTTCGGTATAAAAAGTATATAAAAACGTTCTCTTGTTCAAAAGCTATGTTGTAAACAAATGTCAAGTTAATCCATCGGGGCTAGTTTTTGAGTTTTGTGGACACAAACACACAGAAGCAAAATTCTGATATATAAAGATTTAAGTTATAAAATCATCTTTTTACTTTGACGTATGGATTAAGATTAATTCGTGTCTCTGTATTCACGATCTTAAGAGTGATACACGCGTTGTTTAGTATACACCGTCACTTGGACATATACAGGCCGCATTGGGTTATAATCACGCTGTTAACTTTTTGGAGAGTGAGCCCCGGCTACCTCACTCGCAAGACGAAACGCAAACTCAAACACTTCAACTCCACGCCGATCTTTCAACGGGCTCGACTCACGGAAACGAATAGCTCCATGTCGAATACGAAGATGTTGAACGCGATGATCTCGGTTGGCTGCTGGGCGCGCGCTATCATGAACAGCAGAACTCTGCGCATCCTCTCCTCTGGCACCCCCTCCCATCCGCAGCAGTAGAGCAGTGTCGCGGTCTCCGTAGACTGCGATAGACTGACATCTTACTTCCTGTTAGACACTACTTAACAGCTGAACAAATTCTATGTCATCATCATCAATTCAGCCAAAGCCCGGCACTGAGCATGATCCCGAGCAACCTCACTCTATGCCAGTTCAGCGCTAATTGATCTTCAATCAGCTCTTGATATCTCTGGACCGTATTACCCAAATGAAATATTACCAGTATTAAATGTGAACGAATTTTCTGTACCATAGCTGTAGAAGCAAACATCCCTTGATTACTTTATACGATTTATAATACGATTTAATGGAAAATGATGTATTATGTACAGAGGACCTTTACCCAGTTCAGATCCGTACATAAAGTCTCCAGTGTGCTTCTGCACTCACATTATAAAATATAAATATTTCAGGAAATATTTCACACAACGTTATCTAGTCCCAAACTAAGCACAGCTTATACTATGGATACTAGGTAACTGATAAACATACTTAAACATATTTTTCTGTTGTAAATAAAACATATAATAGATATATAAACAATCATACACTAGAAAAACACTATATACATCACACAATATTATTCCAGTAGTGGGGATTTAGGCCACACCCTCTGGCGCAGGAGACAGGTCCACTGTCCACTACGCCAATCGGTTCTTCAATGTATTAGAGACTATTAACGGCTTATGTACTTTGCTGAAATCCGATTACAAGTCAACTTCTCCCATTAGAAAAGCTCACCATATTCTTTAATTTGGAGGAATAGCGGCACGGCAGATATATATGCACCACAGTGGCAATAACGAACACTAGATATCTCATATCGAATTCATAGCCCTGTGGACAATAAAATGCACTCACAAAACAGATCAGAGAGATTGTAATGTCAATTAATGGTTCAGTTTTACCTCGGTGATGTGGTACATGCAAGTGCATATCTGGATCATCGTCGCGACCAATATGATCCCCAGCCATGTGTTGAACACGCCCTGTACTAGTTTCACGAAGCTGAAAAGGTCGTGGATGACTTGATTTGTAAAATTAATAAACGAAATATATATATATATTTTTAAAGTGTTTTCGATATTTAGTGGATATTTAAAATTTCCCGAGGCGTAAAATTATATATCGGCGCCGCGTTAAGTTTTTGATCACAGGAACTAAGCTAAACCGAACACAATAAAAAGTGTGTCACTATAAGTCCCTTATAAAATAAAACGTCTGCGTGTATTTATGTACGCAATAACAAGTTATACTTTCTTTAGCGTAACAAAAGAAAGATAACTAAAATATTTTTTCCGTGTTTGTAGTTGTTCCGGTTTAATTAAATAACTTTGAATTATAGTATATACTGCTTTTTGCGTTTTTGCCAAACGACGCAAAAAGCAGTATAACTTCAAAAGCGTACATTAGTCTTATTTCCCGATGCATCAATTCAGGCCGTTCAGGTCTCAGTTCGGTTGCGGTACCCGAATCTAGATCCAGCCAGATCTAGAGCGACACCCACCGGAACAGATCGCACTGGCCCTCGATCACACTGCGCACCCTCCCCCCTAGCTGGTCCTCACGCGAGCACATTGCGTCCTCCATAGCGCGGCAGTACAGCGCCATCTTGAGGCACGCGTGGTTGATGCACAGCCCGAAGAAGCCGTCGTAGCCGGTGAAGTTGACCACGTACAGCGTCGCGCAGTACGTCATGTAGGCGAAGAAGAGCTCGAACTGGGGCGAGCGGAGCCTGGCCTCTGGCTCGGCGAACGGTATGGGCACGTCGTGCACCATGTGTCTGACGGGCTCGGCGGCGAACGAGTAGCTGTACACGTTTTGCACCACCGCCATTGCGGGGAAGGTCATCACGCTGAACATGACGAACACCGCCCAGCACCTCTCCGCGTATATCCGGTTGGTGCGGACCGCCGCCGCGATTATCTTCCGGTGGGAGGGCGGCAGTGTGTTGAACAGCGCGTAGTCCCTGTCTATCAGGTCTATCAGCTCCTTGGCCTGCTCCTCGTTGAAGTTCATCAGGAACATCTGCGAGATCGTGTAGAATTAGTATTTCGTATGCTGTATTACATAAATTTATGACCTCAAGTTCGTTGTTAGATTTCTACGGTCCGTCTGTTTCGTCTAACTTGTACTCGTTTGGTTCAGTTTCAAGGGTTATTTCTTCTTTTTTAAACAAAAATCTGATTGTATATAAAGGATATCCTTTGAACGAATGACTTTAAACATTGTGTGCTTTACAAAGCGAAAGTTAATTTTAGAAATATAACATTGATAAAAGCTGATATGTTACCTTGAAAAATCCACCAAGAAAGGGTCCGACCACTGTGCTATGCCTGAATATATTTGTGATGTCTCTGCGTTGCCAGCATTTGTATATATCAGTAAGGATCATTGCGGATAGCGGTGCCACTGACGCTAGCATAGCGACTGAAAGAGAATCTGTACTTTAACAGATCTTTATGAAAATGAAGTTTAAACTTTTTTTATTTTTGACGACCCAACTGGCGTAGTGGAAAGTGACTTTGTGTCTTGCACCAAAGGGTATAGATATCCATTAGTGGAGATCGCTCCACTAATGGAAAAACATTACGTGATGAACATAGTCATTTTCCAGTGTCCATACGTTTCTGTCTGTCGTAAAGTACGTTTATTTATCAGGTACTTAGTATCCATAGTACAAGCTTTGCTTATTTTGAGACTAGATAACGTTGTTGAAATATATGTCCCGAAAACTGCCGTTACGATTGACAGCAACCTCGTTCACGGAACAACATTAGAACCTCGAGCCTAATGACGTCAACATTTCTCGAACGAAGTTACGAAGCCGTACCATTTGACTACTGACAACCATACGATGGTTGTCAGTAGTCAAACTAATAAATTTAACGCGTTTAGTCTATTCCTATATACTTTGACATTTCATTATATGTATTTATCTGCTCACATATGAGGTAAAATCGTCGTCGTCGCTTCTCCGGGTTGGGATAAACCATGCCGACGCACATAGCGAACGCTATTATCTTGTACGTTTCGTGGAATGGTTTAAATTGTACTTCGTCCATCTGGGAAAGGAATATATCGATAGTAAAAGAAACCATTGACTGAGGTAGGGCCACGCAGCAATCTTCGCTGTTGCACAAATCAGCAGGTCAGTCCGGGAAAGTACCACGATCTCACAGAGGACCGGCGTGAAGTGGAAGTGTTGAAATATCCCAGACTAAAGCCCGGTTTCTGAAACACTGATCATCGTAGATGTTAACTAATCTGCTGTCAAATGGCTTTTCAAATTTCATTTTACTCGCCAAAAGGATGGTGCAACTATTTGAATTGGCCACAATGAATTTTTTAATGATCAGAATGCTCAATTCAAAGAGTTTATGCGTCCCTTTGCAACTCAAATGACATTTGAAAAGCCATTTGACAGCAGATTAGTTAACATCTACGATGATCAGTGTTTCAGAAACCGGGCGTAAGAGCATTAAATTTTTAAATCAATAGCTGTGTACCATTTGGGTGTCCATAAGTAATTATGTTTCTGTCGTTTATATCAATTTTACAATTCGTATTTTTGACATAAAGGTTTATACAATAGTTCCTTACCATGCGTCCGACGTCAGCTCGAGTTACACCTTAAATAAAGAAAGAAAAAAATTCCTCACAGCACTTATTTCATTTACTTGTCCTTCAGTAATGTTGAAAGCTTGAGTGCAAAATGAAATCATTACTATACGACACAGCGTGATCAATTTTTTATCAGGTTAGCTATAAACCTTTGCAAAATCATTTTTGTATTAAATCAACAACATGTTTTAATCTGTCAGTATTTAAAGAGATTTAAATATTATTCCGATTTTGGTGGTTGGCTGTGAGGTTTTAGTGCGTTGATCCTTAAACAATTGTATCTGGTTGTATGGCTCTTTGAAATAAACAAAGAGAAAACGAAGTTGTCCATAGTTTTTAAAGTAATTATTGACTGATATTATTGTTTGTGAAATTCTCAGCTTTCTTTTGAGAGTACAAAAAGTCGAACCTTTACAATACCTTGATGCTACTACGTTTAATACATTTAACTGTAGTATCGTAATAATTCAAATGTTGTCTTAATTTCGGATTATCTAAAATTATTACACTGTTGTTATTATATTTAATGTTCCGTTGCAATGTATTATTGTTCGTTAATTTTTGAACATGCTGTGTTAAAGAAAATGCAACAAAGATGCGCCATCAATCAAATTAGGTATCCCTTCGGGCAATAGATTACGATCCTATCAATTTGTGTTTAATGGTCCTTGCTTAACAATTCTCTGTGATTTGACTATGCGATCAAGGGCATATTCTAATTAAGTTAACTACGCATTCGATTAAATTGGCAATTTTTAAAATAATAAATCTAGTGTTCATATTTTGACGAAGTGAAAACCTATAAATAATCTTAATTAAATTTATTTTAACGTGTTCCCATATTATTACATGTTACTTGTTGTATAAATTTTAATACTAGATCTATGGTCTCATAAAATATGTGAGACTTAAAAAATTATTTCAAACTAAGGGTCTATTAGTAAGTTTTTTTTATAATGTTATGGAAGAGAGAGAATTTATTTCTAACACAAGCAAATGTTTGCCAAAAATCAAATTTCAAAAACTTTTACTACATAAATGAAACTAATTTTACGGATTTATCGCGTTTATTTTAAGTTTAAATACAAGAAATTATTAACTTTTACTACATTTTAATTTTTGTGAATGTCCTTGGGTGATGGACAGCTAGCTATCTTTTGATCAGCTTCAGTATAAAAACGTTAGAAGGTATGATTTAGACGTATGTTTCAATATCAACTGATTGAAGATTGGGTTTATTTATTTTACTATTCGAAGAAATGTATCGCAAAGTTAATAAAGACTTCTCCCCGCCATTAGGTTTGCAACGCAGCGCTCGAGGTATACGTGCGGCGTGCGTATACGTCTTACGACATCACCTGCCTTCAGCATCTGGCGCTCTCGGGGGAGCTGGGCGTGGTGCATTTCCAATTCATTCTTCCCACTGGCCATCCCAACAGGTGAGACGCGCAGTTAGAGAGAGAGAGGGAAATAGAAGGATGTAGAGAACGTTAAAAATGTAGATGCATTTGTATTTGCTGGAACAAAACTGCTACAAAGGATCGAACTTGCGAGATTTATTAGAGATTCAATGCGTCTCCGACATTTCTACATATCGAATAGTCTTCACCGTTCTGGAAACTAGTTTCATTTAATATGCATAACTATTGACCCGCCCCGGCTTCGCATGCAATGTATTATATATATATATATATACTAGCTGCTGCCCGCGACTACGTCTGCGTAGAGCCGTGAAAATTTAGGGTTGTATGTATTTTTGTATGCTGTGTCATAAAAAAATAAAAACAAAAAATTTTGCCTAAAAAATAAAAAACAAAATTTAGGGGTGGACTATCCTTAACATTTAGGGGGATGAAAAATAGATGTTGGCCGATTCTCAGACCTACTGAATACGCATATAAAATTTGGTAAAAATCGGTCGAGCCGTTTCGGAGGAGTTCAAGTTCGAACCCCGTGACACGAGAATTTTATATATTAGATAATAACCTTCCTCTTGAAACACTATCTAATAAAAAAACACCGTATCAAGATTCGTTGCGTATTTTTAAAGATCTAAGCATACTTAGGGGCAGACAGACAACGAGACTACTTTGTTTTATACTTGTGTGTGTATATTATTCGCGTAAAATCAATAGTCCCTAAGCCCTCTCTATTCCGTCTGAATTGCCTCAGGATCCCGATAAGTCAGTCGGAGATCGAGCTGTCCGCCGCTCAGGACCAAGAGGGAATCCCCGCCGAGCTTTCTGCCGCCGCCATGAGGAAGTGCCACCACAGGACCGGCGCTCTCGCCTCCTTCCAGTCCTTCGACCAGTTCGTCCAGTACGCGGACGAGCTCCTCGACCTGGTTCACGACTTCGCCAGCTCGGCCACTGTCAGGCGCGAGGTGAGCGAGTTCGGGCCTTATTCTCAATGCGACTAGGTTGAGATTACCTTGTGGAGCTAAGCTATGGGTTCGGTGAGCGGATCCGGGCCTTATTCTCAACGTCACTGGGGTGAGATTACTTTGAGGACCTAAGCTGTGGGTTCTTCGACGCGGATAAGAGGTTTTGGATTTTGTTTTGGTTGTATTACAATTTGTCCAATGCCAAACATGTTACAGGGATGATGACATGAGCTGACTTCAGCGTTACTTACCAGCCGGCAATATCAGTACGCGTTCATCATCATCACCATTTCAGCCTGTTTCAGTCCACTGCTGAACCTGACTGCATCCATCGACTTCCCGCACATTTGTGCACGTCGCCACTCCATCTAGTGGGCGGCCGTCCTACACGCATTATGTGTTTGATTTTAAATATGTAAAAAATATTAAAGTGGCAAATTCTTTCGGACTTTCAATGTGCTAAACTTTAGCATATAACCTTTGATTTGTAATGAAGTGGTAGAGAAAATATGTGAAAGTGGGGGCGTAAATGATGTTAATCAATGGTAAATCATTATCGATACCCTCAGATTTCAGACAGCACTTGAGATAATAAACACTGTCTAGCTTACCCAAGATTTTGGGCATCAGTCATAAGCCGATTTGAACTTTATTTTAATCAGTTGCGTGCCCAAGCTGCTAGTGTGATAAAAAGCCTTTTACGATTACCTTCATTTTTAGAGAGGTGTTAATTAGCTTCTCGCTTTTTTTTTTCTACCATCAATAGGACCTGCAAGCGCTGCAAGAAGGCAGCGAGAGCCGTGAAAGCACCAGTATCAACGTTGGCTTCGATTACAAACAGCCAGACGCCGAGGATGTGGTAAGTTTTGTTTGGTTGAAATATTTCAAGGTAAAGCATAAATATGGACACAAGTATAGTATAGTAAGACCGTGTTAGCTCAGTGTACGGGCGCTCGCATTAAATTCAATATACTGGAGCAACTTGAGTACTTTAAGTACTGACTTATCACATGCTCAGCAGTGAAGCAAAACATCGTGAGGAAACCTGCATATTCTTCGAAATAATAACACGGCCACTGAGCTATCACGACACAGATCATGACTGAGCAGTAAGGCGCCACAGAGTTTCCAGTGATTTTCGGCTAAATATCCGGCTGAGTTCTCGGTCTCGTTCTCGTTGTATAAATATATCTTCTCGGTGTATGAATATCGGCCATCGAGAATATTGGCCATCGAGAATATCGGCCACAAACATTCCTTAAAGAATTTTTTTACAATGTCCAATATTTGGTAATTGATAATGCCGCCCCCCACAGCCTTTGGAGCCGATCCACATCCTGATGATCGGGGTGCGGGACAGCGGCGAGAGCGACGACAGCGCGGTGTCGCGCCGCTTCGGCAGCTTCTGCCGCGCGCACAGGCACGAGCTGCACGCGAAGCGCATCCGCCGGATCACCTTCATGCTGCTCATCAAGTGAGTCCGCTCGAGGGGGACGGCTGCGCTATTTTATACACCGTCCCGCTCGCTCTCTATTGAAAATTTTTGTGCACTTTGTATTTAAGAGAAGGGGTACCGCAAGGTCCGGTACTTGATCCTTTGCTGTTCCATCGACTAGGAGACCGTTTTCAATTTCTTTGATCTGGTTGCTTGTGTTATTTTTCATTTTTTATACCCAATAATAAACAGTAAATAAAATTTCCAAGAGGAAACAACGTGTCTGGTCCTTTATTATATATAATGTGAATTTATTTTTGTTATTAGGCGTATATAAGTAACAATATTAATTTTCGATGTATTTTTATTTCATTTTTATTCATTATTTTGAATATTATTAATTAAGTAACAAATCATTATATATTATATCCTTGCTGAATTTTTAACCTTTTAGAGATATTCAATCAGAGGAATAACGGGATGGTTAATACTAATCATTAAACATTAAATTTCATTATGAAAATGATAAAGAAAGGATTTATTGATGTTTATGCATTGTAATGTATGACGAGCCGCCAAAATGAGCAGTCTGTGGGGGAAGCCTATGCCCAGCTGTGGCATAAACCAGTCTGAAATGATGAGGACGAAGTTATAAGAATGGAACAAATCACTGATCCTGTTTGTTCTTTCTCCTCATAGGCGCCAGTTCCCCAAGTTCTTCACGTATCGCGCGCGCAACGACTTCACCGAGGACACGATCTACCGCCACCTGGAGCCGGCTTCCGCCTTCCAGTTGGAGCTGTACCGGATGCGCAGCTACGACCTGGAGGCGTTGCCCACCAGCAACCAGAAGATGCACCTCTACTTGGGCAAGGCCAAGGTAAAAGAAATGGTTTTTTTATTTTTATGTTAAAACGTGGCAACCCAGAGGTTCACCTGATGCTAAGTGATGGCCTCCGCTTATGGACATCATTTTATGCAACACTAGTATGGTTGAAGATGTGTTGCCAGCTTTTAATAAATTGGGCCCCGGCTACCTCACTCATTTGACGAAAGGCAGAAGTATAACACTTCCACTTTACGCTGGTCTTTTGTGAGGTGAGGTTGCTACCACAGTTAAATAACATAACCTCACAGTTAATAAGACATAATTAAGTGAAATAAACGCCTTCACGGTTATTAACTGAGATGATAACTACGATTTACTAATTACATTCCTTATGTTAAAAATAAACCTTTGCAGGTGAAGAAGGGACAAGAAGTGACCGACTACAGGTTCTTCATCCGCTCCATCATCAGGCATCAGGACCTCATCACGAAGGAGGCCAGTTTCGAGTACCTGCAGAATGAAGGGGAGAGGTAAGCGGCTATAAAATTTCATACTATTAGAGTACTTTTGATGTTATTTACGGTCTCATAGTTTAAAAATGTCATTAAATCCGTTAATGAGATGAAATTTTAAAAATCTACTAACCATAAAATCCTCTCGTCACTTATTTTTTAAAGCGAAGCTTGTACTATGGGTACTAGGTAACAGATAAACATACTTGATCGTTCTTTTCTTCTTGTAGTCTTGTATTAACTGATGTTTTTGCTTTCAGTCCCGAGACTATTAAAGCTTCATCTGACGCAGAACCGGTGGGCTAGCCAGAACCCACGGGTTTGGGCCCTCCGCTGTGGGTAGGGCCACGCATGTGCTCATGCGTGCGTTTAACTATGGTGTGTCATCTAAGGGCCATCGAGGTCGTGGTTCGGACCGAAACCCCGATGGCCGTCGACTGTGCAATTAGCTAATCGGTGGCTGGGGGCGGTGAGAACCGCCCCGGAACGCGGGTGTACCTTGTGTACGCGTTGTGTTGGTCTCGCCGTGCTCGGAGGCGAGGGCGAACTAGTGTGTTTGTTGTTGCACTAGCTGTGGGTGTAGTGTTGTCCGGCGGGACCCCCGGCAGTGGGTCCGGCGTGTCTAAGTCTCCTTCCTCGACCGGGTCGATTAGGACGTTTCGCGGGCGACGCTTGTTGACGTTCGCGTTTTTGTCGGGTTGGTAATTTGCTGTCTTTTCTTTTATAAATAAAAACATATTATAGATATATACCCAGACAATAGAATAACATTATTTTCCTCCTAGTATTTTTTAAATTGTGTTCATCGAACCCATGCCTTCTGCCGCAAGAGACAGTTCCACTATCCACTACGCCAATCGGGTCGTAGTGTAACAAATATGATTAATGATAGATAAAATTCGATCATACACAGTGGGTTTGTCGGATCTTATCGATTCGCCTTTTCCAGGGTGCTGCTCGAAGCCATGGACGAGCTGGAGGTGGCTTTCTCGCATCAGCTGGCCAAGAGGACGGACTGCAACCACATCTTCCTCAATTTCGGTCCCACAGTTATCATGGACATTGCCAAGGTATGCTATTCGTCGACATCCCTTTCACTTTGTCTTTACAAAGTTTCTCAGTGTAAACTCAGCCGAAGGAATCCAGCCCAATTCAAATCTTGAACTACACTTATTCGATGAATCATACCAATATTTATTAAGTGATAACCGCTGCCCATAGACATTTGTAACAGTTGCATATGCATAGCTATTTTTTAATAAAGTGGGCCCATTTACCTCACTCACCAGACGAAACGCAGAAGTGTAAAATTTCCAGTTCACGCCGGTTTTCTATGGCGTTGTAGAACTTACAAGGATGGACCTGCCTTGGTTCTTCAAGCTGTGCCAATGGAGCCGTTGAGATTTCCCGTGCTGCGTATGATTTGTTCTCTTCTTCCCTGTTCCAGATCGAGGAGTCAGTTCTGGGGATGGTGATGCGCTACGGGCCCCGTCTGTGGAAGCTGAGGGTCTTGCAGGCGGAGATACGTTTCACTCTGAGAATAGGTGAGGAGTAGGGCCTTGTGTTGCAACTTTATACGATGTTAGCGTTACCGGTACATGTTTTTTATACCTGATGTTAAGTGATAACCGCCGCCCATGCACGTTAACAATACAATTATAACTGCGTTACCACCTTTCAATAATGTGGGCCCTGGTCACCTCACTCATCAGACGAAACGCGGAAGTGTAACTTCCATTTCACGCCGGTGCTTCCCCAGACGGAGCTGCCCATTCGTGCAACAGCAAAGACTGCTGCGTGACCTTACCATGTTTAATGAATCGGTGTTAAATTTATTTATTTATCCTAACGGAGTTCATATTTGAAAAGAACTCATTAGAACGAAGGTACTTAGGAGAAAGACTTATTCACCCTCCATTAGACTTTCAGCGACGCGATCTCTCTGTCTCTTTCTAACGTACTAGCTAAATGACCAACGTGAGGCGCGATTAAAAAACATGATATTAATAAAAAAATATACAATTTGATTTCAATTCCTGAAAATTAAAACATGTAGAAAAAGTACCACGTCTTTCGAACCCACGCCGAAGACGTGGGTTCGATTCCCACAGCGGCGACAATCTTTTCGTACTTTTTCTACATGTTTTAATGTTCAATCTTAAGTGCAGAGATTAGCACTATAAAAAACTTTAAAATTCAATTCCTGAAATTGGTATTTTTTTATTTTTCGTTTAGTTACTTTCGAACACTGTTTATTTATTTCGTAGTGCCTGTTATTCAATACAAAATGTATTAACTACGAAAGGCATTTCGTTCTAATGAGTCTCCCACGACTGCTATACTCTCTTTTTAAATATTTTGTTTGTTTCCTTATATTTGCTTTAAAAACGATAGAGATATTGTATATTATTGAAAGAACGCATATTATATTGATTTATATAGGATCAATAGCTCTCCTAAGGACACGAGATATAAGTTTCGATAAAATACATATCGTATAATGTTATATACGTCAAGATCACGCGAAGGGTCCACTGACAGACCTGGCCATTTATCAACTTTTTTGTATTATTTTTAGGCTTGAAGTTTTAAGCCATTTTTTATTTAAAACCAAATATTCCACTTGTAATTAAGTCTAAAATTTTATAACATAATTTCAGGCCCTGGAGCACCAATGAAAAACGTGAGAATATGCTTGTCCAACGGCTCTGGCTACTCTCTGGACATTTACACGTACGAAGAGGTTTCAGATCCTAGGACGGGAGTGGTGAGTTCTTATATGAATATATATATTGAATACTAGCTGTGCTTGTACTTAACTTGTAACTTCGTCCACGTGTAATTTAAAATAAATAAAATTATTAATTATTTTGGTTATATGTACCGTGTATACATCCATATGCATTTAGTAAAAAGCGGCTATTTAAATATTACAAACAGACATTCGAATTTTCTTTATCTGTATAGATTTGTTAAATGATGCACTATATTCATATTATACTCATAGTAATCTCAAAATGTACCGCTGAGCTACTAATTTAAATGTATACTGGTATTGTTATGCTCGAACTTTTCCTCGTTTTAGATTAAAGAAGCGTTTACAAAAACCAGTGAGACTGATCTGTCTTAAATAAATATATATAAATTTTAAATATACAGATATAAAAAAGTCTCTTACAATCTTTATCAACATTGGAATCAGGACATGTTCTTATTACAAATGATGTATATTGTTTCTTTTCCTTTGCAGATAATGTTCCAGTCCTTCGGGCCGAGGCAGGGTCCGATGCACGGCTTGCCCATTTCCACGCCCTACGTCACCAAGGACTATCTGCAGCAGAAGAGGTTCTTGGTCAGTAATCCATAGCAATACTTACCTACTCATACAAGGACATGTTGAATCGTTTAATTATACGAAGACTATAAGTCGAAGCTCAATAACCTTAAACATTTTGACTACACTCTTCTCCATATAAGAACACTAACAAGTTTAGATCAATTGCATATACTTTTGATGTGGATCATTAAATCATAATCAGTGATTGGATGATTTTAAATTGATTAATTCGCATGTTCGAAATATGTACATCTCGTCTATACACTTTACACTTCAACGACCGTTATGCATATAACTCGATTCAATTAATATTTGCTAATATAAAAGGTTCTAATTTCTTTTTTTTATTAGATTTCAGATTAGGGTCTAATGTAGATACGGAACAGCGGGAACAACGGGTTCAGTAGGTTAGAGATATGTTAGAGAAAAGAGCAATTATCAGTAATTACGAAATAAACGACGCGAGTGGCACAACACTTACCCACTGCCTATAGTATACGAGTTAATTATCCTTATCTCCATATTGGCACAGGCGACGTCGCAGGGCACGACATACGTGTACGACATCCCGGACATGTTCCGCCAGTCGGTGGAGAGGCGCTGGCGGGAGTGCATCGAGGAGGGCAGCGTGGACGGTACGATACCTCAATCTCTGAATCAAAGTATCACTTTTTGAAAGTATCACGTTTTCAAAGTATCACCTTTTGAAAGTATCACGTTTTCAATGTATCACCTTTCAAAAGTATCACGTTTTCAATGTATCACCTTTCAAAAGTATCACGTTTTCAATGTATCATACATACATCTGAGCCGTGATAGCTCAGTGTCCGGGCGCTCGCCTTTAATTCAATATACTCGGGCAACCTGAGTTCGATCCCCGGTGCCGGCACCAATGAAGTTTTTAACTTTATATGCTGACTTATCACGTGCTCCGCGGTGAAGGAAAACATCGTGAGGAAACCTGCATATTTTCGAAATAATAACAAAAAAAATATTTCGAAGATATGTGAAGTCCGCCAATCCGCAGTGGGGCCGCGTGGTGGACTATGCCCTGATTCCCTCTGTATAGAGGAGGCCTTTGCCCAGCAGTGGGACATGTGTAGGCTGTTACTTAACTTTTTCAATGTATCACCTTTCAAAAGTATCACGTTTGCAAAGTATTGCGTTTCGAAAATATCACGTTTCGAAAGTATCATGGTTAGAAAGTATCACGTACTCAAGTGACAACATTGTGAGGAAACAAACTTACTGCGGTAGAGCCACGCGACCCCTTCAGCTGTTGCACGAAAGGGCAGGCTCTTCCGGGAAGTGCCACGGCCTCACAGAAGACTAAGCGCGATGTCGAAGTGTTGTAGTTTCGCGTTTATTTATTATTTAGAGAATATGCAGGTATACTCTCTGTTCCCTAATAGTCTCTGTAAATCTGTACGGAGTAGACCTTTGACAAGTTGTGGTCTTTTGTATAGGTCAAGGTCAGAATAAAAAAAAATTTTCTCATTGTCTGACGACCTTATTGGTGTAGTTGTAGTGTTTTTATAATGTCCGGTTATCATATACAACATGTATTAATTACTACTTTATTACCAAGCACTCATAGTACAAGTTTTGCTTTGTTCGGGACTAGAGAACGGCAAAACTCTCAATCAGACATCTCAATCAAGGGGTCGTTTAAGGAGTTAAAGCATAAAGCAAGTTTATACATATATTAGACAGCTCCAGAGGCGAGTCATAAGTGTTAAGTTTACACAGGGCAGGTGTACTAACGAGTGAATTGTGCCCTCCCCAGGTCCGCCGCCGGACAACGTGATGAGCAGCGTGGAGCTGGTGGTGGAGCCGGACGGCGAGAGGAAGGTGGTTGAGGTCACTCGACTCCCCGGACAGAACACCGTCAGTGCATTTCTACTTCCTTCGCATCAGTTACCACCACTTTTATGGTGATCTTTGTATGCCGTGACAGCTCAGTGTCCGGGCGCTCGCCTTTAATTCAATATACTCGAGCAACCTGAGTTCGATCCCCGGTGCCGGCACCAATGAAGTTTTTAGGTTTTGGAAGTGCTGACTTTTCATGTGCTCCGCGGTGAAGGAAAACACCGTGCATGTTTTCGAGATATTAACAAAGTTTTAACAAATTTTTCGAAAATATGTAAAGTCTGCCAATCCGAAGTGGGGTCGCATGGACTATGCCCTTATACCGTCTACAGAGGCCTTTGTCCGGCAGTGCACATGAATAGGCCGTTACTTTACTTATTATATTTTGAGACTGCATAGTTTTATAGAGTCATATGTCTGTCCCAAAGTATTAATTATTATTATTCTGAAAGAGGTGTGCTTAGAGGTCATGGCTTGGGCTTCTCAGGTGGGCATGGTGGCGTGGCGCCTGACCCTCTACACGCCGGAGTGCCCTCGGGGCCGCGACGTGGTGCTCATCGCGAACGACCTCACGCACTACATGGGGTCCTTCGGGCCCCACGAGGACTGGCTCTTCTACCGCGCGTCTCAGTACGCGCGCGACCTGCGCATACCCAGGGTCGGTGGACCTGCCCCCTCCCTAGGACAACCCCCTCCCCCCTAGATGAGGTGACGACCTGTGCAAGTGTGTGCGGGAAGTGGAATGGATTCAGGTGGCTCAGGATCGCGCTTCGTGGCGGTTTACGGGGGAAATGGAACGGCCGAAATGATGATGATGAGCAATAAAATCCCTTACTTTTTATACATGTATATTTTATAATTTCAACTAAGAGCCAAGAAATGATTTACATTCTACCACAGTTTGATTTTGAGGAGTTCCCTAATGCATCTCCGGTGTTGAATGTTCATAAATGACGGGGAATGGACGGACGGATGAATGTTTATATTATGTTGAAAATTGAGCGTGTCTCGCCATCAAACGTAAAAGTTTGGCGAGAATAGCTATGTAAACCTATTCTTTGTATATTTTTTGTGATAAATAAATTTAAAAAAAAAAGTTCAGATAAAAAATTTACTCCTTTTTAACATGATATATACAGCGTGTCATTACCATCGCGACAATAAATGAACGTCTAACGCTACTTGCCAATAATCATAAAAAGTATTAACGTTAAACAAAATTCATAATTAAAAAAATATTTTTCAAACAAACTAATTAAGTAAAAAAGAAACAATATTTGTAACATCCTATACAACTCGCGCCACAGCGTCGTATTACAAGCCTCTTCTTCTAACAGTATGTTTTGTCTCTTTTAAATTCATTCAACCTCATATGCTTTGTGACCTTTAAAAATGAACTTTACGTTACGCTTTTATAGGTAAGGGTGTTCCAAAATTCTTTGTTTTGGAAAATTTAATAACTCTGTAAATATTGATGTTTAAAGAATTTAAATGTTTAATACAGCTTTAAAAAGTTATCCCCTATTTGTGTGTTCATTTATTGTCGCGATGGTAACGACGCGCTGTATATATATATATATATATATATATCTGTCAATATACATATATAGATATATATACTATAGACATATGTATTATATAATACATAATATTGATATACGCTTTCAGATATACGTGAGCGTGAATTCTGGCGCACGTATCGGCGTTGCCGAAGAAGTGAAGTCTGAATTCAACGTTGCGTGGATCGACTCTGAGCGACCAGAGCGCGGTTTCAAGTAAGAGACAGTACAGACTTTTCGTCTGTTGGCTTATACATCTTTAATATGTGGCTATTTCCAAAGCGAAGTATGCTCATCAGAAACCTATTACCCAGAATAACTTTGCTCAGTTGGATGATAATGTTGTGTAAAAAATTGGTCATGAAATTATTTTATATTTTTACACAATTTCTTTCCAAAAATATCAAAAAGATACACAAAAAAGAAAAATATTTCCAATGTATGTGTAGTACGCCGATCTGCAGTGGGGACTATGCCCTGATGCCCTCTGTACAGAGGAGGCTTTTGCTCAGCATTTGGACATTATTTATAATTCCTTTTATTTATTTATTTATTTATTGCACATCCATTAAGTAACAAAAGGTGTTAGGGTAATTAGTAAAATAGTTCTTTATGGACCCTGTTTATAGGGCATAGTGCAAAACAAATCATAAATTCGGAGAGAGCAAGATGTATCACTTAGGTAATTTAATGAAGTACTTATTTTTATTTTTGGTTTTACTTTAACTTATTTTTTTCATTACTTTTATGTTGGTTCTTTTTTTAATTTTATACATTTTAACCAAATGTAACATATAATGTAAGTGTCGGAATAAATGTCTTATATCTTATGACATGTATAGGCTGTAAACTTATTACTTAGTACGTAATGTGTGTATAGATAAGCGTCGGAATAAATGTCTCATATCTTATGACATGTACAGGGTGTAACTTATTGTGCTTTGCGCCGTTCCTTCCAAAAGGTACCTCTACCTGACCCCCGAGGCGTACTCCCGGCTGGGGCCCCTCGGCTCGGTCAAGACTCAGCTGATAGACGACGAGGGCGAATCACGCTACAGGATCACCGACATTATCGGTCAGTTTGAACGATTGCACGTTATAATTTCTTGTATTCACGTGATTACACATTATAAATTTAAACTAATTTTACGGATTTATCGCGTTTATTTTTAATTTTAATTCCCGACGTTTCGAACCCTTTGCAGCGTTCATGGTCACGGGACAGACTGAGGTGTTAGACGTCTGATTGTCATAGTTAACCCGGGCTACCGTCAGTTTTTGAATTATTAATTTTGTGTCCGATCTATGCAGAGGGAGCTGATTGTATCTTGTCTTGCAGTAGTGGTTCGTTTGGGCCTAGATTAAATTTTATTGATGACAGGATCCCAAGCTGATGGTAGTACCCAACCTTCTGCTCTAAACCTTCTTTTCTTTCACGCGCTAAACCCGCGTGAAAGAACATATAGCTGACATAAAACACAATAGATTGAACAAGTCTGCAGTTTGTGAGCACATTTTAAATAGGCCCAACCACTACATCAGGTTTGACAAACCACAGATCCTTGCAAAAGAACACCGATTCCTCCCAAGGATGATACGCGAGGCTATTGAAATTAAAAAACACCCTAATTTCAATAGAGAAGAAGGTTGGGTACTGTTTATGTAGTGTAGTGTTGTTTATGATTGCACGTTAAATAACTCCGAGATTAACATTTAGAGGAACTGTACATCGCAGCAATATAGAGGAAAGTATACCGTAGACAGTTTTTACAAATAAAAGTAGGTGTAAAGATATGAACACTGTTCATATCTTTAATTCATTCAATTCATTTCTTTCGTGTTCAATGAACAGGCGATGATGATTTTATTCGAATCGCAACCGGAAACCGTTCGTACTTCGCCGCATTTGATTTTAAGCCTCATTTTAAGTTTTTTCTTTTTAATTTAATCGTTTCGAATTATTTGTAGCATTCAGGTCGAAAATTAAAATTAATGGGGAGAGAAATCCTTGAGAAAGTTTATGTCAATATGAAAAAGAAATAAATTGCTTATGGTACGCACTTTATGTCGAAAGCCTCTGTTAGTTTTACATCATCATCATCATTATTAACAACCGGAGAACGTGCACTGCTGAATTGCTGGCTTTCTCTTCAGATGCTCCTTTTTTGATACGATCTTCGATATTGAATATTTTGAATCGATATATCAATGTATCGGATCCAAATATACCGCCTGAAAAAGTCGATGTATTGAATCAAAAATGTCGGCATATCGATATTTTTTTGACATCTACAAGCACATCGGTGGTCGGCTGTTGCACGATTAGTACCACGACCTCACAGAAGAACGGCTTAAAGTGGAAGTATAATACTTTCGCGTTTCGTCTGGTGAGTGAGGTAGCCGGAGCCCTGTTTCCAAAAAGGTTGTCAACGCATCTGCAACCCTCGGGTGTAGCAGATGTCCATGGGCGGCGGTATTCACCTAACATCAGGTGAACCGTCTGCTCGTTTGGCAACTTTTCACATTAAAAAAAAAACAGGAGAAATGGTTCACTTCAGTTGCGGCAATCAGCTCCGTTCCGTTCTGTGGCAATGTAAATTGAACAATATGAGTATATACTACATAAGTGGTAACTTACGAACGTGTTAATTTCTTTGTAAAATTTTGACCTTTCATAAGAACGCGCAAGCGTCTATGTGAATAAAGATATTTTATTATATTATTATTCATCATCATCATCATTACAGCCTGTTTGAGTCCACTGCTGAACACAGGCCTCCCCCATAGACTGCCATGAATTATTATTATAATTGTTTATTTAAACGATTCACGTCGGTTCCGTTCCGTTTCTGCGTCGATGTAAATTGAACCTTAGAGTTTTTACTACACAATTGATGATTTAATTGTTCGCATGTTTAGGCAAGGAGGACGGCTTGGGCGTGGAGTGCCTCCGCGACGCGGGCCTGATAGCGGGCGAGACGGCGCAGGCGTACGAGGACGTGGTCACCATCTCGATCGTCACCTGCCGCGCCATCGGCATCGGCTCCTACGTGGTCAGGTACGGCGGCGCGACGGGCCCAATGGGTCTATTTTTATCGGAGAAGGCGCCAAGCGAGCTGGCTGCTCACCCGATGTTCAGTGGTTACCGCGTCACGTGCGGTGTAGGTGGTCAAAGTTGACACCATATTCAACCTAGTCCAAGGGCGCCTGAGTATACGTATTATATTATAGTAGTATTTCGCACTTGCTGAAATATCAGCTTTTGCAAAAAATTACGTTTTCTCACGTAACGCATACAAAAAGACGAGTGTAAAGGGAAAATCTAGTTCTGGCGCAGTCTAAGCACTTGAAACGAATCTTAAACTGAATAAAATTTTTGATAGTTCGCCGCCCATGGAATTTTGATAAAGCGGTGGTTTGACGATAAAGTGGGCCCCGGCCACCTCGTTTAAACAGACAAAACGCAGAAGTGTTACACTTCCACTTGTTCCGGTACTTCCCCGAACGGAGCCGCCCATCCGTGCGACGGCGAACCATTGCGTTGCCTGAACTGTCGCCGCAGTCAAGTGAGGGACGCTTCTCTGACCTTGGGCCCCGCTTAGGCTCGGCCACCGCGTGATCCAGGTGGAGTCGTCGTACATCATCCTGACGGGCTACGCGGCGCTGAACAAGGTGCTCGGCCGGCCCGTCTACGCCAGCAACAACCAGCTGGGCGGCGTGCAGATCATGCACAACAACGGCGTCACCCACGCGGTGGCCCCGACGGACCTGGACGCGGTGCGCACCGCGCTGCGCTGGCTCTCCTACGTGCCCAAGGTGACCCCTTCTGGGCTCCCGTCTTCGTCCATCGAGACCCTCTGCACGGGATTAAAGATATCCACCAGATTTAATAACGGCACCTGACGAATCCCACGTAAATGATACCGCCTAAATTGATATGCACCATAATTTCTTCTAAATGCAGTCCCTTTGGGTAACTTTGAATTGCTGTTTGTTTAACTTTGAGCAATGTTGTGAAAAAGATTTATTGATTTATTACGCTAAAACTATTTTTTATTTCAATAGCGTAATTGCGTAAAACGATCGTCAAAACGTTTTGAAATAACGAAATGTAAAAAAAATAAACATTCAATGCAATATCACATTTAAACGTTAATTTAGATGTAATTTTTAGAGGTAAGTTTTTATTTAATGAAAATACGTCATATAATATATAATTTTACCCAAACCTTAAAATATTCGAATAATGATGGTTTTTACATCCTAAAAAAAAATTATATTCAAAGTTATCCTAAATTCACGATAACTTTGAGTTTGTGGGGGAAATTGTGGATAGTTCTGTTGTTTTTTCGTAAATTTATTGTGTCGGCAAAATAACCAACTCAAAAGGACACTATTCATTCAATAAAATAAAGGTGTGACAGATATAAATCAGATTGTAACAGCACAAATTCTGTAAAAAATGTTCAAAGGTACCCAAACTGACGTTAATTGCAATAATAAAAAAAGATTTTAACCCAATACCTAACCTCTCGTCGTAAGGCTTCATTGATATTGTCTTGGTAACAGAAAAGTTTTTTTTCGCAGTAGCTTTCAATCTATATCATATTAAAACTAGTTGATAAGTACAATGTGGACATTATGCAACAACTGAGAGCTTTCTGCTTGCTTGATACATCGATAACTTTTAAAAAAAGCGGGCCCCGGCTACCTCACTCGCCAGACGAAACGCGAAAGCCGAAGCAGTTGTGTTGCCATATTGCTCGATTGCGAGGAAAATCTTGTACGTCTCGCGCCCACTAGGGGGCAGTACCGTCTCCTTCGAGGACTATTGCTCCAGCAGCACCTGTAGGAGGCAGTACAGTCTACTTCGAGGACTATTGCTCCAGCAGCACTATTGCTCCAGCAGCACCTGTAGGGGGCAGAACAGTCTACTTCGAGGACTATTGCTCCAGCAGCACCTGTTGCTCCAGCAGCAGTAACAGTACTCTTCGCAGACTAGTTTGCTCCAGCAGCAGGGGGCAGAACAGTCTACTTACTATTTCGAGACTACCTGTAGGGGGCAGTACCGTGCTCCAGCAGCAGCACCTGTAGGGGCAGAACAGTACCGTCTACTTCGAGGACTATTGCTCCAGCAGAACCTGTAGGGGGCAGTACCGTCTACTTCGAAGACTATTGCTCCAGCAGCACCTGTAGGGGGCAGAACAGTCTACTTCGAGGACTATTGCTCCAGCAGCACCTGTAGGGGGCAGTACAGTCTACTTCGAGGACTATTGCTCCAGCAGCACCTGTAGGGGGCAGTACAGTCTACTTCGAGGACTATTGCTCCAGCAGCACCTGTAGGGGGCAGAACAGTCTACTTCGAGGACTATTGCTCCAGCGAGGGGGCAGGCTACTTCGAAGACTATTGCTCCAGCAGCACCTGTAGGGGGCAGTACAGTCTACTTCGAGGACTATTGCTCCAGCAGCACCTGTAGGGGGCAGTACAGTCTACTTCGAGGACTATTGCTCCAGCAACACCTGTAGGAGGCAGTACCGGCTCCTTCGAGGACTATTGCTCCAGCAGCAGGTATCTGTCGGCAGGACAAGCTGAGCACGGTGCCGGTGATGCGGTGCGCGGACCCGATAGACCGGCCCGTGGAGTGGGTGCCGCCGCGCGCCGCGCACGACCCGCGCCTCATGCTGACGGGCGACGCGCAGCGCGCGGGCTTCTTCGACGCGGGCTCCTTCGACGAGGTGATGCGGCCCTGGGCGCAGACCGTCGTCGCAGGTGATCCCGATCCCCGGTCCCGGCCAAATCAACAAATATATTTATTCAAATAGACGCCTGCGCGCTCTTATGAGTCGTCAAATTTTACATCAAAGATTATGTGTATAGGTTCGTAAGGTACCACCGGTTCGGAAAGCGGTTTCTGTTGAGAAGAGACCGGCAAGAAACTCGACGGTTGCTCTTTTTCAAAAATATCATCGTACAATATAATAAACAACTATAATAGTCTTATTCTAGCCTACGTGAATATCAACAGTATTAACTCCACACATGGACGTCGTCGATATATTCCGAAATGATATAATATGCTTTAATCATTAGTTGATTTTTAATTTTACATTTAAATTGGTCAAGTGGCAGACTTAATATCGACTGTGGGATTTTATTATACATGCGCACACTTTGCCCCATGAACGACTTGTTTACTTTTTGTAAACGAAACAATGGCGTAGTAAGTTTGTCCTTATTTCTAGTGTTTGTTTTATGTCTGTCACTATTCTTTAGGTAATAATTAAGGTTATGACGTATATACAAAACATTACAATAAATGTATTGAGAAGCAACAGTGAGTGAGCAACGATATAAAAACGTTACGCTCGCTTATCGACTGTCACTGCAAAAGCTGACTAAGACCCGGCGGAGGAAACTCGGCGGGATCATTATTTTTTTACAAATTATTTGGTAATATAATATGGTTATTTATTGGTAATTATTTGGTAATATAATATGGTGAGAGTTGAGCGAACAATACATTTCCAAAGTGTTTAATCATTTAAATAATCACTAATAGCCTTAGCACACAAATGTTCGCTTACGGGGCGTTGGCTAAGAGAGTATCGTTGTTTGCAGGGCGCGCCCGGCTCGGCGGCATCCCGGTGGGCGTGATCGCCGTAGAGACGCGCACGGTGGAGCTCACGCTGCCCGCAGACCCCGCCAACCTGGACTCCGAGGCCAAGACCGTGCAGCAGGCGGGGCAGGTGAGCATGCACACTGGCGAACGCACGCGCACTGACGCACGTGCTCATATCAACACACACACACACTAACACACGCATGCACATCAACGTAAGCACCAACGTACGCACACCAACGCACTCACGCAACTTAACGTACGCACGTTGGCACACACGCACTCAGATACAGTACTATCGTTCTCGAGTGGGCGCAGGATGATTTCGTTCAAACGCTGGAACTATTAACTTAGGCTTTTGTCATTACATAAAGGACGCAAACTTTCATTTTCTTATAAGACATTTTGTCATTTAAACAAAATGGACACTTCATTTTTCTTAAAGGGACATCATGTTTACCCTAGGTGGCAAATAATTTATTGGAATTCAAATTGATTGTTATTTTATAAAAGGACGGAAACTTCCTGCGATTTATCATTTGAAAAGCCTTATACCTTTATCTTTTAAGCGTTTTATACTTATTATTATTGCTCAATACTAGAAAGTCTTCCCTTCAAAATTGATTCTGTATCGACATTATAAAAGCATACGTCTCCAGGTCTGGTTCCCGGACTCAGCGTACAAGACTGCGCAAGCCATCAACGACTTCACCCGGGAGAACCTGCCCATTATAATCTTCGCCAATTGGCGAGGATTCAGTGGTGGCCAGAAAGGTGGGTCTTTTAATCGATTTAATATACGGGTGGCATCCGATGCCGGGCTAAATTATTGATATAAACACCAAAATAAATAATTATTTGAAATAATAAGGTCTATAGACAAACCAAAATAATTAAGATGGTCCTAATATTAGCGTAATAACAAACAAATCGCTCCATGGTCATTTGAATGCGGGACTCAGTTCGTACATTATACAGCAACAAGATGTCTAGTTCTATTGTGTTTATCTTCCCCAGAAAGATACGACATTCAATTGACTAGTGTAAAGTAGAAGTACATTGGTACATTATGATCTAGCCCTTTCAAAGTTTGCGTCGTACTAACAACAAATTTATGGGGATGACTATGAGGAACCATAGTGACGATGATATTTATGCTTGCTGATTTCTTTGTAACGAGGTGTGATAGAACGGGCGGTACTCGTACAATTTATTGTAGAGAACGTTGTTTTGGTGTAAGAAATCCGCATTTCAGGGCGTTTCTCACCGCCCCTAACCACCGAGCGGGGTTCACGGTCCGTACCGAGTCTTGATGGTTCATAGGCGATTTTCCTCCCCATAGATAAAGCACGCATGAGCACACGCGCGGTCCAACCTCACACTGGGGGCCTGTCAAGCTCGTATAAGCTTTAATAGTTCACGGCTAAAGTGTGAATGTGGCGTGCGAGCGAGAGAGAGATATATATAGTGTCTGCTTCCCCCCAGACATGTACGAGCAGATCCTGAAGTTCGGCGCGGAGATAGTGCGCGCCCTGCGCGGCGCCACCGCGCCCGTGCTGGTGTACATCCCGCCCGGCGCGGAGGTGCGCGGCGGCGCCTGGGCGGTCATCGACCCCAGCGTCAACGCGCAGCGCATGGAGATGTACGCCGACCCAGAGGCCAGGTCGGTGACCTCTGCGATATTACGCACGCGCACGCACACGCACGCAGACGCGTACACGCACGCACTAGATTCACGGTCATCATATTAAACGTCGCCTGGGCGGTCATCGACCCCGGCGTCAACGCGCAGCGCATGGAGATGTACGCCGACCCAGAGGCCAGGTCGGTGACCTCTGCGATATTACGCACGCGCACGCACGCGCACGCACGCGCACGCACACGCACGCAGACACGTACACGCACGCACTAGATTCACGGTCATCATATTAAACGTCGCCTGGGCGGTCATCGACCCCGGCGTCAACGCGCAGCGCATGGAGATGTACGCCGACCCAGAGGCCAGGTCGGTGACCTCTGCGATATTACGCACGCGCACGCACACGCACGCAGACGCGTACACGCACGCACTAGATTCACGGTCATCATATTAAACGTCGCCTGGGCGGTCATCGACCCCGGCGTCAACGCGCAGCGCATGGAGATGTACGCCGACCCAGAGGCCAGGTCGGTGACCTACGCGATACCGCGAACGCACACGTACATGCACGCACTAATCTCACAGTCGTCATATTAATCGTCTTTCGTTAATTCCCCCTTTTGTTATATCACGACTCTCCCCGAAATCTGTATCACATGAAGCTTTAAAAAGCCCTTAACACTGATTCCGTAGAAACATTTATTAAAGCAGTACCAGCACACACTCGATACCCGAACAATTCCAAACCCGTGCAATCGAAATATGAAATTAGAAGGTTAATTCTAATAATTTCAATCAGGGGCGGTGTTCTGGAAGCCGAGGGAATTGTCGAAGTGAAGTTCAAACAACGGGACATACTGAAGACGATGCACCGTCTCGACCCGGAGCTTCTGAGGCTAAATGCAAGAATCTCAGGTAATAACACGCTATTAACTTTTCAGCTGTATTTTTTTTACGAAATATCGATGTTATCGTAAACCTACATATTATACAGCGTGTCGTTACCACCGCGACAATAAGTGAACACACGTCTACCGATACTTGCCAATAATCATAAAAAAATATTAACGTGAAACAAAATCCATAATTAAAAAAATATATTTTTCAAACAAACTAATTAATTAAAAAAGAAACAAAATTTGTTAACATCCTATACAAATCGCGCCACAGCGTCGCATTACAAGCCTCTTCTTCTAACAGTATGTTTTGTCTCTTTTAAATTCATTCAACCCATTCATATGCTTTGTGACCGATACAAATGAACTTTACGTTACAGTTTTATACGTAAGGGTGTTCTAAAATTCTTTGTTTTGGAAAATTTTATAACTCTGTAAATATTGATCTTTAGAGAATGTAAATGTTTAATACAATTTTAAAAAGTTATCCCCTATATGTGTGTTCATTTATTGTCGCGATTGTAAAGACACGCTGTATATCTTATACCATCAAATATTTCACATCATACACAATAAATATGTGTACAAATATGTATAGCAGATAAACTATAGGAGAGAGCGAAGAGCTGAAATGGACATGAATTAAAAGACCATCAGAGTTCTACTGCACTTATCTCACATATTTGGGGTCGGTAAAACACGTGAATCAAGTTTTTAACGGTAGCAGTAGCTAGGTTTTTTCATGACGTACTGCCGCTTGTCAACAATTATCGGGGTCACGCAGACACTTGTCTCATGAAATTGAGACCACGACCCCAGAGCATGTACTAAACTGACACTGGGTCAATATGTCACCATCTCCTGATGCAGCTCATGGGAATATAAGTCGATGTCTAGATGTAGTAAGAGAAATTGAGACAAGTGATGCTTCCTAATAGGATGTAGACAATCTATATCCTATGAAAGGGAGTTGTGTAGAACAATGCAGCTTGATATATGTTGTATTTGAAATCAATATATAGGTACTATTAGATAATGTTTAAATTTTTCTGTGATCTATGCCTCACTTTGTTATCGTAATAAAGATTTTATTGTTTTAACACTATAAAAAGTGATTCTTTAACATAATTATTGGAAACATAACCTTTCAGAAATCAAAGAGCAGATCAAGGAGATATCGAAAGGCTTCGATAGGAGGGGCTCCATCGACGATGTGCTCATCAGAACGGATGCTGGCAAGCAAGGTTAGTATATCAAAATGTACCTTCTCAAATTAAAAGAAAGTAATTTGAGAAGGTGGCAAGTGGAGTGCTGTTTCACATGATGTTAAGTGATAATCTCCACCAATGGATATTTGCAACATGTGTAGTTATGTTACTAACCTTAAGAGTAGGCTCTGGTTACCTCACTCACCAGACGTGAGGCAGATGTATAACTCCACTTTACCCCGGTCTTCCCAGTCCCACTACCCCAGAAAGTTCTTGTCTATTCTTGCAACAGCAGAACCTACTACATGGCTCTAATTCAGTTAAATACGAATAAAAGCTCTCATGCTTTCCTAAAGCAAAGCTTGTGTAATGTAAATGTATAAAGGAGTATCGAATAAGAAATACTTAGTGACATGTGAGGTTTGCTAATATGGACTAACACAGAATGAGATGGACTATTTTCTAATACAAAGAGCTTCTAGTAGCTATCAGTATGATATATAATATGTTTGCGTGTATGTTCTTACCAATTTACAAACTGTAAATTGAAAAAAATATATTACATATAATATGTTTTTGAATCAAAATAATCTTAATCAATGCGTTGCTGTAATAAGAATATTATTAAACGTTATTTGAAATTCCCCTCAGCGGAAGGACGCGTTCGTGAACTAGAAACGGAGTTGGTAGCGGCCGAAAAGGCCGCCAAGTCAAGGGAGAAGGAGTTGAGTCCAATCTATCACGAAGTGAGTATATTTTCTCTCTCTATCTCTTTCTTTAGTATCCTCAGATTATCCCCGATGTTATGGTATGACGTAAACATAAAAGCTTGGTTGGAATAAAGACTAACCAAAATAAACTCGAATAAGTTATCAAGAGTAACTGAATGTTATTTCTATATAATGAATTTATAGGTGTACATATGTATACTCAATGTAAATAAATACTTTACCAGTGTAAAGACATGACATATAAGTGTTTAAAAAAAAATCATTGTTTCACAGACAAAGACTGTTTAGCAAAAACATACATTTAACAAATAATTATAATACATTTAAATTGAAATTTTATTTAGAGGAAAATCCATTTTACTCAGGGAAAGAATATTTACAGTAATGAGAACAGAAATGGATGCACTGTTTAAATATTGTAACATAATATTTTTAATAACATTCTTTTATTGATTGATTTTATGATAATACTTTAGAACTAATGAGTATTTAAGTGAGCAGTCCATTAATAAATTTACTGTACCTGGAAAGAGTATCTTTACTGTAATACTTGTTGATGTAATGCACATTTAGATGGTTTATAAATGATTGAAATGACATTTTCAGATAGCGGTACAGTTTGCAGAGTTGCATGACACCGCGGAGAGAATGCTTGAAAAGGGTTGCATATTTGTGAGTTTTCGATTCTTCCTTTTTGTTTATTGGTTTTGCAAATGCAGTTGTTATTACAGTAATTATACACTAGCCCACATCTCGTGTACTTGTGGTAAAATTTTCAAAATAACCGTTCAGATGTGAATAGTAACGAAAATTCGTTTTGCAATCTGTCTACAGACCAAACCTAAATTAGTTTTATCACAGTTTGCTAGAGAACTATAGTGTTGTAATGTTAGCGTGTGTTATTAGAATAAATCCATAGAAGGAATGTAGTGTTTATATATACAGTTTGAAAAAAATCTGTAAATTAGTTATTTAATGAATCATTTCTGGATGTTTATTGGTCAATCATTAAAAATTATTAGAAGGTCTCCATTAAATTACGCAATTGTGTATAAAAAAGTACGCTAAGTTTTTCACTGTAGTGGGAATCGAACCCTCGTCTTCGGGATTCGCGCCCAGACGCTTTAACTGCCAAGCTTAACGATAACGAAACCGATAGCCAGACCGAAGAAAATCTCAACGTCTTTTATCTGCATTGTTTTTTTTTTTATTAAATTAATTTGAAGCAAAATACGTAGTCTCAGTAAAAGCGGTCGTGTGCGCAGGACATCATCCCGTGGCGGCACTCGAGGCGGCTGCTGTACTGGCGGCTGGCGCGGCTGCTGCGCCAGAACGCGCAGGAGCGGCGCGTGAGGGCGGCGGCGCGCGCGGCCGGACGCATGGACCAGGGCGCGGCCGCCGCCACGCTGCGGCGCTGGTTCACCGAGGACCGCGGGGAGACGCAGGTGCGAGCGAGACGGAGGGTGCGCCGCGCGAGGCACGCCAGAGGGAGATGGAGAGCGTCACATGATGTACCCGAGAGAGACGGATTGCTGGCACATCGATTCATCGTCGTCATCATTTCATTCTCTTCTAGTCCACTGTTGAACATAGGCCACAGACTGCCACGAAAAGCGATCCTGAGCCACCTTTACAACGGGCGGAACTCCATCTAAACACCTTTCACAATTAAACTAGTTTTAAAATCGAAAATTACATACGTAGCATGAGTAGTTTATCCGTGATGAACGAGCGCTCGTAACGGGCACACATGCACATAGGCACATGTATTATGCGCGTGCACAGCTGCGAAATTTTCTAAACGCGGTTACAGCCACAGCGGTGTTCTCTTGTGTTCTAAAACTTAGACATAAAATCCATCTCAATCTGTCTCCGTATTTTAAACCACTTTCCCCCTCTCGCGCAGTCCCACCAGTGGGAGAACGACAACGAGGCGGTGTGCCGCTGGCTGGAGGAGCAGGCGGGCCACGAGGACTCGGTGCTGGAGAGGAATCTACGCGCCATCAAGCAGGACGCCGTGCTGCAGGCCTGCAACGACCTCGTCATGGTGAGGGACGCTTATATGTAAAGAATCAGCCTGTACATGTCCCACTGCCGGGCAAAGGCCTCCTCTGTACAGAGGGCATCAGGGCATAGTCCACCACGCGGCCACACTGCGCATTGGCGGACTTCATATATCTTCGAAATATGTTTTTTTTGTTATTATTTCGGAAATATGCAATAACCGTAAATAGCTTAACAGCAGGTGAACCGCCTGCTCGCTTACCAAACTTCTCACATTAGAAAAAGTATGACCTTCAAGGAAAAGTCTTATTGAAACGCTGATAATCTTTTGGTGTGGCCAACTTCCGTGGGAGGCGGTGATCGTCTCTCATCAGGTGGGCGCTTGGTGGTTTGCCATCCAAGATAGTGGGCATCGGTTCACTGACTATATTTTATTCCCCGCATTGCGTGGCTCTCCTACAGTAAACATAGCTACTTTAATCGTATATTTCCGTTCACAGGAGCTCACGCCGTCACAGCGTGCGGAATTTATACGGAACCTCACAGCCTTAGAAATGGAACAGTAGAGTAATTTTAGCGCTAAGAAATTTCCAGAATGTTTGCACGATGAATTACAATGTGAATATTTTAGGCGAATAATTATATGATCATTTGTTTGTTGCATTTTTATCCGTTTCTGTGATCAAATGTGTTCTTATGTTTTGAACTATTCTGTTGTTTCCTCTTCCCAGGGTTGAAATTATTTGAACTATGATTAGTTGAAAGGTCGAATCTGTTGTTTATGATCCGTTATATTTGTTTTAAAATTTGATTTTTGAAAAATTCGACTCGCTCATTACGTCTAAAAGATTACATTTGCCGGTAACTTTTGGGACCCAACAATATCTACGAGCTTAAGTGATTTCAACTGATCCTATTTTAAATAAGGTTTAAATAATAAAGATTTTTTAGGGTTACCATACAAATGCCATTGGAAGCTTACCGTGTATTACTTCACCTTTATATTGCTTCAACTTTGAAATTATTTAAAAATGTTATAGTTATTTAAACATTTACTAAATAATGGGGGGCAGTGGTCCTGAACAATTACAATTTAGTCAGAAAATGTTATGCATTTTTATCACATGTGCATTTCAATCATTTAGTCAAGTAAGAACACACAAAAAGGGTTTTTGTTTCATCGATTTGCTGTCGAATTAAATTCAATTGAACCTCATCTTTTGGAACAAAGTTCCAAATTTTTCTGTAAGCTTTGAACAATGTTTCGTTATTTATTTTTATTTATTGTTTCTATTAGCGAATGAAATGAAAACATTTTCGCGATAGCAATTTCATATGACTTTGATATAAAACATTTCTTCTCCATATTTTCTTAAATGGCGGACTGTCCAATTGACATCTGTCATAATAAGCAACTGTCAGTTGTCAAACAATTGGTAGTGTGATAAAATGGCTGTACGAACAAATGGGGTTTGTCTATGTTTTGTATTTTTTTTTAATATTTAAATTCTCATTGTCATCGTTGTCGATCTCGAATATGTAAATTGTAGATGAATATAAATGCTTTTATATTTTTGTCGTGAAGACAATTTTTCCTCGTCATCGAGATGAAAGTGGGGATAAATCGATTTATTTCAATCGTATATATTTATATAAATCATATAAAGATATAAGAATTATATGTATTGGCTACATAGAATACTTGTGCGCAGTTCTATCACAAATTTCATTGAACCTTGCTCATTTTTACTTCGATCACCAAATGTGTATTGTGATGTGCTTTTGCAAAGATGAATTAATGTAAACATATATTAAATGATATCGATATAGGTCGTTAATTATATTAAAAAGTGTGTAGTGTGGTTAAGGTTCTACGGGCTGTCTTTGTAGCAATATATTCTTAAGCTGGGACACTATCTCTAGGGCAATGCTTGCTTGGGCTTTGAGTGTTAGTCAGAGGACTTGGTAGCAGAGTGTTATTTTACATATCCTCTTAACACGTTAGAATAGCTGGTGGGAAACTGTAAATATAAAAAATATATATTTATATATATATGCAGTGTTACTACTAGAAATCAAAAGTCGGACGATTTGCGTTGTTTGTTTTTCTGTAAAACTTTTTTTATGGAAAATTTTTAAATTAAATTTTAAAGTCAATACAATTTTTTATATATTGCAAAACATTTTTCGACTGGTAACATTGAACGTTCGGTTTCAATCGCCGACGCCTGTTGAACGTACAAACGTGAAGTTTCTATACAACTGATACATTCCTATAAATAATACCACAAACGTAGACATATCGGTTTATGTTCAAACGATGCAAAACGTGCTTGGCTACCCCACAACCGTAAATATCTATATGATTGTTCAAAATGAACCTGTCATACTAAATATGTAACGTTTTTAAAAAAACCTCATGTTTTTTACAAATACCACACGTTAAACTTCTTTGGAGCGTAAACCGAATATTAGTTGATGGGTTTGGTTAACAAAACTGCTCATTGTTTGTATAAAATGTATTTAATAAAATATTTAACGAATCTTTGTAGTTTTATTATGAACAAAACTAAATAGTGTAATTTAATCATTTTCACAGCAGTCAGAATTTTGTATATAATTCTGTGCCTCAGAGGCAAATAATAGTAATTTCAAATTATTCAAAATATTTTTTCTTACACAATTAAAATCGCAAGAACAAATTCTACACAATAGTAAAAGAATTAAGTGCTACGACGCCTAATTAATAAAATTAGTCCAATCGTATATGAAATCATAACGCATTCAATGATTTACTCCATACATTTTTGCCTCTCCTGTAAAATTTATTTGGTTGAAGACTTGAGTATATTTCAATGAAAACTATTTAACTTAAACGCGTTTAGTGTGTACAGACTGACGTCCATGACATGCCATTAATTATAAAATTTTGTATCATACTATTGATCATTTAAGAAAGGTATTGTTAATAATCGTGTTTCTTGTATGGCTGTAAGTCGTTGAATATTACAGCGATGAGCCCAACACCGTCACATTTGTATAAGTCTGGTGCACGCAACGAATTCTTGTGTTTTTTTTTTTATGCGAAAAGTTGCCAAACGAGCAGACGGGTCACCTGATGTTAAGTGAATACCGCCGCCCATGGACATCTGCTACCCCCTAGGGTTACAGATGCGTTGACAACCTTTTGAAAATTGGGCTCCGGCTACCTCAGTCACCAGACGAAACGCGAAAGTATTTGTCATACTTCCACGTTACGCTGGTCTTGTGTGTGTGTGTGTGTTCAAACAAGTGTGCATTGAATACACATTATTAATATAATAAATAACCATATTTATTTGTATAAATTCGGTTAATATAAACTTCAATTGGAGCGTCTTATAATAAACTTATGGGCTTGGCATTTATGGAATGAGGTTATCTATAAATTTTAGTTTTGACAATATATCCAGATTAGATTATCTCAATTTATCCGCAAAATGCTTTCAAGGCAAACGCGTTGAAAATATTTTGAAATTTCTACTTATCTACTACTATTAAAAGTACTAAAACATATCTAATGAAAAGAATTGAGTGATTTCCTCAACTAAGATATTGCTCAAGTACTCTGCTGACGCCAGGGTAAACCGCTTCGCGTTATTATAATCAACTGTAAAACATATTTTATATTCTAATATTTTTTATAACAAAAATAAAGCATCCAAGTTCTGACTAACGATACTGCTATAATTAAGTTTTCAAAATCGCCCTTTAGTAATAGGAAATAAAGCTGCGATTAAATATAAGTAGTTACCTACTTACTGACAGATCACGTATTTGGCTACGCGAAACATGTATGAAGAAATGAAACGAAAAACTTGACTTAATATCTAAGAATCTTAAGAATAGTAAAGTAAGCCGACGAATCCCGATTCCTGACTAATAGGAGTCCGTAATTTGTTTTAAAGGGGCGTTTAAGTTTGGCGAGGCATACAACATTGGGCGCACAACAGTAGGGATGCAGAAAGTGAATATATCGATATATCGATATTTATAAATCTATATCGATAATATCAAAATCGGCCTCGATATATCGAAGAGAACTCTCTTATCGACGAATCTAATATCGATTCGATATTTTCTCCTTATGCCCGTGTCGTCCAAAAAAAAACGATTGCCAAGTATTAAATATTTGAATATACGGGTTCTGTCCCGGACGCGAATTTGAAAAAATCGTTTTTGAAACGATTACGATATTGAATATTTTATATCGATATATCGGCTAAAATATCGATATATTTTGTAAGAAATATCGATATATCGATATTGTTTCGGCATCCTACACTACAGCGTGTAGGTCTTGCGGTTGTCGATGAACCAGATGATGAATGTGCGTATCTGCGTCGGTCTTAAGGTCACAATGAACTCAGATTCTGTCGTCTCCTGGGTCTCGTTGCTGATCTCCTGCCCGTCTTCGTCCTTCACAGCAGTCCTATAATAACACCAGCTCGGTTATGACGCTTCGGTACAGTGATTTAAACAATAGCTTTCCAGCAGCCAGAGCTTACCTCACATACCATTTTATTTTGGTAGGGCCACGCAACAGTTTTCACTGTTGTACGAATGGGCAGGTCCGTCCGGGTAATTACCACGACCTCACGGAAGACCAGCGTAAAGTAGAAGTGTTACACTTCTGCGTTTCGTCTGGTGAGTTATGTAGCCGGGGCCCTCTTTATTTAATAGGTGGCAACGCACTTCCAACCCTACGGGTATTGCAAATGTCCATGGGCGGCGTTAATTACCTATTATCAGGTGAACCGTCAGCTCGTTTGTGACTTTTTCCCATAAAAAAAGATATATACAGACCAATTACTAGAAAGATGAAGTTTCGAATACCGCAGCGCCGACAGTTTTTCGACAATTTATCTATCTATTCATTGTCTGGACGCTCGCTTTTAATTCAATATACGCGAGCAACGGGCCAGTAGTGAGACATATACAGGGTGATACTTTATCTACACAATATAAACATTTTTATCTTAAATGCATAGACTACTACTAAAAATAAAGTTAAGTGTCACGTGCTCAGCAATGAAGGAAAACACCGTGAGGAAACCTGCATGTTTTTGAAATAATAATTAAAAAAATTTTTTGCAATCATGTTCTTTTTAGTTATCTCTTTTTTTTGGTGAAATTAAGGTTATTAATTGGTCTGTTAACCAATTTTATCACATTTAAATTCATCGCAAAAATTCCCATTCAAAGGCGCTTGATTCTACTACCGTAAAATAGGTACTTTACTGTTATTTGTATACCGTAACCAAGTAACGACAGGGTTACCTCTTTCTCCGGTTATTCTCCCATTTCTCGCCGACTTCTTCACTGTCAACTTCTGACTCTTCCTCGTCGATAGACCCGCCGGCTTCATATTCCTGGTGACTTCTGTCCTTACGCCGTTTCGCTCTTAATTGTGCCAGCTCCGACTTTGGAGCGATGTGTGTAAACTCTACTGAAACGGAAATATACTTTATACAATTTTAAATTTAGTTCAGAAAATTTTATATATGTTCAAAGAATGGGAACATCCGTTGCATAATTATAGATTCTGTGATATAAAAATTGTAATGTAAACAACTCTTTCATGTAAAATAAATCCATGGAGAATAGGTAATCGAACAAAGCTAGTGCTGTTGCAAATCGGTTATCATTTCTATATGTAACTGAAAGCATGGTAAAATGATTTGGATTCATTCGATATACGTGTACCTATTATGTGAGATCTTCGGAAATTGGTACGTCGTGATTACCGCCGTTTAAGGACACAAGGACTGTGGGTTTGCAGATGCGTTACCAACCTTAGAAAGAGTGGAACCTGGCTATCTCATTCGACATAACAATCTCAAGGGCTCTTTCAGTCAGAGTTCTTATATTGTATTTGTGATGAATTCATGTCAAACTGTTTATTAAAAAAAAAAATAAAAAAAAAGGCCGCTGAGTTTCTTTCGCCGGTTCTTCTCAGTTCTTCAAAGCCACTGTGGCTTTTTTTCCGGTGGTAGTATTTCTAGTGGACTATCAATAAGCGTGTATATGTTGAATAAAGACATTTGATTTTTGATTCCAAAATAGAGTTCGATCCCCGGTGCCGGCACCATTGAAATTGTAAATTTTAAGTGCCGACTTATCACTTGCTCAGCGGTGAAGGAAAACAGAGTGAGGAAACCTAAATAATTTTGAAATAATAATAAAAAGATATTTAAAGTCCGCAGTGAGGCCACGTGGACTATGTCTTAATACTAATACATAAGAGGCCTTTATCAACCATTGGGACATATATAGGCTGCCTTTCATCCCTTCTTAAGCTGGTGACCATTGTCATTTATACGCGCTGTGCGACGTTCTAGACAAAATATCAAATGATTAGTCTACTACGGTACCTTTGTGTGGTCTTGTCTTTGTTGTCTTATCTTCCGTATCGCTGAAGTTTTCCTGGCCGCTGTCTCCGCTCGCTTGATTGTTTCTTACATTCTTTTTTGCCTTGAACGGATTTTCAGCGGGAGAAAGGGTCTTCCCCTTCCTCTTATTCCTATTCCTTTTCAATTTTCTTGTCGTGTGTTCCGTAGACGTGGTCGTGGTCTCCTCGTGGTTGTATTTGGAGCCCTTTGCGCGAACCTTTTTATTTCTTCTGTGGGCAGGATTTATAGTCACCGAATGCATTTTGACTGTGTTGCTCGGTCTGATTTTGTAGTACATCTCGTACATGGAACGTGTTATACCGTCGTCGGGCTCTTCAGAATAATATTCTGTAATAAGTGTTGCTTCAAATTTATACCGATTCCAATCGCGAGTATGGATTTTAATGCTGGCGAAAGCGAATGGTATAGGATTAACAGTGACATCGGAACGTCAACCGTTTCAGTTCTTACCGTGACCGCGAGTGATTCTTTCTCTTTTCATGTGAAAATGATGTTAAGTGATTACCGTCGCGCATAAACATCTACATCACTGAGGGTTTGTAACCTACAATCGCATAAGCGTTGACAACCTTTCAAAACGTGGGCCCGGCTACCCCACACATCGCCGAAAGTTATACTTTCACTTCACGCCGGTGTTCTTTATGCGAGGTCGTCGTACTTCCCAGGACGAGCCTGCACATTCGTGCAACAGTAGAATCTGGTGCGCGGTCCTATTACAGTGAAAATTCAAAAACAAATGAAACCGATATTAAAATTGCGAGTGCTATTAAATACGTAAAGGCATTAAGTCCACCTTTAGTGGTCTACAATATTGAACAGATGAATAAAAATGAAACTATGTAGTAGTTGAGTAAATACTATTGCGAGTGACGTGAGTACTATAAAATGCGTGAAGGTATTAAGTCCACATTTAGTGGTCTTTAATATTGAACGGCTCAATAATAATGAAGTTATGTAGGAGTTAGTAAATACAATAGATTACAAGAGTCACGTCGCGACTAATACAATAGAACCTAATAATAATATCATAACTTTCCGCAGTACGATCAGGGACTCACCGATTCGTTTGTTCCCCTTCGAGCTGTCACTCCCGTTGCGCCTCCTGGCCGACCGCTTCCTCAGGTTCGACGAGAAGTCGTCCTCAGAGGTGCCCGCCTCGTCAGAGCTGTTGGCCCAGTCCACGAAGAACCTCACGGGCTTCACTCTGGTGCGGAGGACGTCCAGCCTGAGTTCGCTCTTCGCGCCGGCGCTAAACCTGTTCCTCACCAAGTCGTTACTCAGATCCAGCTTGGCGTAAGGCGTACGGCCCGCCTCAGACCGCTTCGTGCCGTTCCTAGCAATATGTTGATTCACGCTCGTGTAGATGTCGCTGTAGTTGAGAGATTTCGTTTCCACGCCCGTGATGTTGTCGACTTGCACGCTGGCGTTGTCGCCTACTGCGTCGATTAGGTTCTCAGTGATGTTCAGTGACCGTTTGCGCCTGTCCTCGAAACTCTTGTTGCGCTGATGGTTCTTGAGTTTGTTCGACAGACCAAGTTTCTTCCGCGGCTGCTTGCGCACGAAGTAAGTGTCTTCTTCCGAGAAGCCTGAAGATATATAGGTATAGAGGATTTCAAATTAGTTACCTAAACGGTTCCGTCGTGACCGAAATTTTTTTCACAGAAAATCTTAGCATTTACTTTGAATTAATTATATTAGGACGTATGATCGTTCACACTTGCTTTAAAGATAATCGTAAAAAAGAATGGAAGCAAGAACGCAATATCACATTATCGTCTTCTCGTCCACTGGTAACGAAAAGGTTATTAAGTCTAACCAGAGTCCTTTCTTTCAGCTCGTTCGACTTTTTCATCTACGTAGTCTGTGTTGTCCTCAGGTAGAATGCCTTCGTCTCCACCGGAATAGACGTATCTGCAATTTATTAATATATATAATTTATGGTGAAACAAGATTCTTTTAGATTGCGTCTCTAGGTTTGGAAGATGGCTTTTACTCTATAAAAGCTAATCTTAATATTATTTGACGACGTTAGCAAACACCTTGGCGACCTATTTCCTTGTGATTAACCTGAGCTAGAGTTTATAATGTATATTGCTATATCGCCTTTTACAATTAGTCGGGATAGTTGTTATGTTTTGACTGATGCATTCAGTTTCTTTCAAATGTCAAATAGACGAGTTAAGATAGTTTATAATTAAACAAACAACTCCAACGTGTGTCACTTTAAGGGCAAAAAACGAGTGTTTATTGAAGACGGGTGTGACCTCGTGCTCCAGTCCATTTGCCTGGCCTCCTCCAGCCACTGGTTGGCGGCGAGGGTCGTCTCCCGCACCATCTTCACCTCGTGCTGCCCGAATATCTTCCGAAGGTCCACCACCACGTGGCTGCTCCGCTGCCCGTAGTCGTCGTTTGTGTCCTTGTCCATTTTGTATATCTCTGGAACAGAAAATTACGAATGAGTTGATTAAGTTATAAATTTAAAGAAATCATCCGTGATAGCTCATTGTCCGGGCGCTCGCTTTCAATTCAATTATACTCGAAACTCGAGTATAATTGAATTGAAAGCTCGAACTTAATTTTAATTGCTGATACGTGCTCAGCGGTAAAGGAAAACATCGTGGGAAACCTGCATATTTTTGAAATAATAACGAAAAATTGGCTGCGTGGTGGACTAGGGCATATAGTACTAATGCCTTCGGTACAGAGGACGCCTTTGCCCAGCAGTGGGATATTTATAGGCGGCTACTTTACTTTTTATCCAAATGTTACTGCAGCTAGTGACAAAAGAGAAGATGGTCAGGAATGCAGGAGATAGGTTTTCAAATAATTCTATAATATTCCACGGTGTTATAATTGTTTTCGTTGTTCGTTTATAAAGAAATAATAATAGGGCCTGTAATCTGTGGTAGAACAACGAAACAGTCTTCGCTGTTGGGCAGGTACGTCCGGGGAAGTACTTCGACCTCACAGAAGACCGGCGTGAAGTGGAACTTCAGCGTATTGTCTGATAACTGAGTTACCCGGAACCCACTTTCTTAAAGGGTGATAGAGCATCTGCAACCTTAAAGGTGTTGCAAATGTCAATACGCTGATCACTTAACATCAAGTGAACGGTTAGCCCGCTTTTTGGCATGGCCCGCCGCCCATGGACATCTGCTACACTCGACGGTTCCAGATGTGTTGACAACCTTTTGGAAATTGGGCTCCAGCCACCTCACTCACCAGAAGAAACGCGAAAGTATTATACTTCCACTTTACGCCGGTCTTCTGTGAGGTCGTGGTACTTACCCGGACGAGCCTGCCCATTCGTGCAGCAGCCGAGGCTGCTGCGTGGCTCTACCACCGTAAAAACCTTGCCTTGCCACCTTCTCATATAAAAAAGCAATTATTTGCAATTCATATGTACTCCTTGATGTGTGGACATTTTAATAGCGATGGGATAAAATTGATGGTTACGTGAGCGGAGTCGGATTATCTTCATTGTGACTCCAACAGTATTCATTGTGAGGAATGGAGTTAGTTACCTTTGTCCGTTCTTTCGAGGGTATTTTCAAGTCGCAACAGCACGGAGCCTGCTTTCCAGGGTTCCAGTGTTATGATGTGAATGTGTCGAGGCAGGCCGTGCATGCGGATTGCCGAGTACTGAAAGTCATTATGTTATTCAGAGGAAGCTTTGATGATGAAATAATGTACCCAATGGCGGATTTACACTAAGGCCCAATAGGCCCTGGCCTTGGGCGGCCACATATTAGGGGCGGCAAAAATTCACTGATGATAACAAAATATACGATAGGCGCTGAGAAAGGGGCGGCTGGAACTTACTACTTGGGGCCTATGGCGGGCAAGATTACAAATCCGCCACTGAATGTACCGGCTTCTATATTGTATAAAGATATTTGTAATTGTAACTAGTTTGAAATGGACGAGCGTCGCACCCTTTTATTCCTGACGTTCTGCCACTTCCTCCTGTTGATCTTCTCACCGGGAGCAAGGAATAGCCAGGGCTGCATCAACCATTTCCTCGCGGTGTACGACACCCGCTCCGAGAAGGTCTGCTCATCCACTGGTAAGGCATGAAGGTAATCCAGTATTATGATTTGGAAGTTTATTAACACAATTATTATTTGTATACATATGATCATATGTAAATTTAATATATTTCATGTGTATAATAAATAGTTAACAATCTCAAAGCCACTATGTTATAGACCTGACTTTCATGCTTCGAATATAGACAATTACCGCTTAGTTAGAATGTATGTACGACACACTGTATAAATTCTTTTGTATTTTTTTGGAACCACCTTATATTTTATCACTTTTTTTATAATTAGTCCACTAGCTTCGCCAGGAATTTTTTTATTGTACATGTATAGTATTTGCATTTTCTCTGTAAGTGATTTGGTGTAAAGCTTTTGAGGAAATAAATGTCTTTAACCTTTCTTAACATAGTGTATGGCGGTCATATTTAGATTTGTAGGAAATTTCTTGCTTAACGGGGCGATAGCCAACTTTACTAACGGCTTTCGTCCGAAATCGACTTACTCTCTTGCCTGAAGTTGCCAAACATCAGTCTGTGCTTGCCCTGAACCACAAGACCCACTCCGTACGCCTCCTCGTTGAGGGTTTCTTCCAGGCCGAAGCCGTCGTCGGTCAGTAGGCGCCTGTGAACCTGAAAGTTCAGATGATGCACACAGCTCTTGAGTTCTATAACTTATTTTAAAAAAGTAAAGTAACAGCCTATTATTGTCAAATGGGCAAAGGCTTCCTGTTTACTGAGGTTACAGGCAGGGTCGATTACTATTTGCTTATTGGTCACACCTGATCTCGTGGGGGAGGTCTACCTTGTGATCCCAAGCTGCGGATTCGGGATAAAACACGCTTGGTGTACCGTTAGAACGATAGGCTATCTCTAAAAATATATAAGATCTTATACGAGGGGCCTTAAATGTACTCTCGGAATAGGTATGATAGAATAAGCAGGCCCACTTGCAATCGTGTCGACTTCAATAATTTCTCCACTTCCGAACAGTAAGATAATGAGAATCTTGGTAACCAGCCGCCATTTCTTCGTGAGTAAATTTTAGGACAAATTTCTACGAAATTTTTCTGTCAGCCATGTTAGTTGCTTTTTCGTGATGACATCTGGAATACTAATGGACGCGATTTAATGAAATTTTATATTTATAAGCTCTAAGAGTGTCCTGAACTAATGAGATAATTTAATTACCCTCATTATTATTATTATACTAATGTATATCGCCCCGGTACCGAGTATTCATTGAACGCCACCACGGAGCCGTTACTATCGTGTATATGAGAAAACGGTGAACGTTCATCACTCACCATCAGTTCGATCTCGCCTTCGTTGTAAGACGTGCCGCCTTGCGTTCTGTCCGTCAGCACGCACAGCTCGACGCTGGTGTTCGTTGAGCGAGTGCAGATGCGCGACGTCACCGGGTAGTAGCAAGCCGCCACGGGCTTCTTCACCTGTGGACCTGGTGGTGCAACAAGTTGTCAGGGTTGGAAACGTTTATCGGTAGGATAAAGGTTTTCTGTTCGTAATTTTGGTTTTGGTGTTTTATGATCCGTGATACCTCATTGTTCGGACGCTCGGTTTTAATTCAATGTACTCGAGCAGGGGGCCCTCCATTAATCAAATGAGGCTCGAAAGGGGGTGTAGGGGGTTTGGCAATTATCATGAAATATCACAAGGGGGGGGGGGGGTTTGTGAAGTAAGATATCACGTTTATTTATTTTTTCGTCAAACGAGCAATTGCTAAACCAAAAAGCGGCGTGTTTTAAATTTTTATCATGGTCGTTAATTTCGGAATAAAACTACATTACCTATACTTTATACCAGTATTTATAGATAATATTCTAAAAATTTTAAGATTTGTAGGTACTAAAAATACAAGTGATTTTGGGTGGGGTGGGTACCTCATCACGTATCACCAAGGGGCAGAAGCGGGGTTAAAATATGCTAAAATACATCACGTGGTTAGTGGACGGCCCCCAAGCTGAGTGAAATCCCCGGTGCGGGTAGCAATGAAATTATTAATTTTACGTGCTGTATTATTACGTGCTCAGCGGTGAAGGAAAACATGATGAGGAATGCTTCTATATTTTCGAAAAAAAATATTTCAAAGAAATGAAATCCGCGAATCAGCAGTGGGGTGGTGTCCACCGCGTCCACTATGCCCCAATACTCTCTGTACAGAGGAGGCGTTTGCCCGGCATTGGGACATTGACAGGCTGTAATTTTACTTTGAATTAAATTTAAATTTTCTTTTAGTATTTTGTCCTTCCCAACACGAGCCTGCCCATCCGTGCAACAGCAGACGACGCTGCGTGGCACTGCCACATTGTAAACGAGTGCGGGTTGGTGAAAACGCTCTAGAATGTTGCGACTCACTGGTGGTGGAATTCAAGCAGGTGCGTTTCATCATCTGTCGGCCGTTCGCGTCCGTGTAGAATTCGCCGGCGTTCGTTATGTTGGTCTTTAGGATGCTCACAACTTCTTTGCCGAGGTCGTTCCTTGATAAGAGAAATTATAAAAATATAAATGTAATTAATGAACTATGGAGCCGATCCTTGGGTCGTTCAGTTGTAAAATTAAAATAATTTTGTTACGTGCTCAGCAAAATGGAGTCAGAAGGTGACAAGGTGGTATCCCAGGGAAGGTAAAATGAAATGAGAAAGTTGGGATGACGATATAAGAGAAGTGGCAGGAGTGATGTGGAACAGAGTGGCCCTAGATAGGTCAGAATGGAAGAGGTCGTCAATCGGCAAAGGCCTCCCTTTGCAGGAAAAAATTGTGAGGAAACCTGCATATTTTCGAAATAATAACAAAAAAAATATTTCTAAAATATGTGAAGTCCGCCAATCCGCAGTGGGGCCGCGTGGTGGTCTGATATATACAGAGGAGGCGTTTGCCCAGCTGTGGGACATGTATAGGCTATTACTTTACTTACTTTTGTTACTACCATCCCCGATACGTTTAAAATGATTAGGATGCGAAAATTTCTTGCTAACGCAAGCTTTCCAAATTGTTCAAATAATAGCAAACGAAACTTAACGATAATTAAAACTATTATGATTTTTTTTCTCCAAACAATAAGAATTATTTATTAGTGGCATTCTTAATTCTTACTCAATATTCAAACAAACTACACTACAAGGCTCGCGATTCACTGGTGCAATGTATTATACGTACAGACCTTCCTCTTGAATCACTTTATATAGTAAAAAAAACCGCATCAAGATCCGTTGCGTAGTTTTAAAGATCTAAGCATACATAGGGACAGACAGACAGAGGGACTACTTTGTTTTATACTCTGTTGTGATTTATTAGAAACATAAAAAAGTGTAAAGTAAATGCCACTTTCAATTTTTTTTTCATCCTCAACACATTATATAATTCCAACTACGATATAACATGTTGCATTTACTATGTTCATCTATATATTAATACGTGAAGCACGAAAACTTTGTACTCCTTTTTACGAAAATTGCGCGGACGGAGGAGTATGAAATTTCCCATAAACAGTATACATAGAGGAGTGCAGAATGCTAAATTTTTTTAATTATGCATAAAAATCTTATCCTTTAAACGAGCAATTCTTGTGTATATATATATATATATATATATATATATATATATATATATATATATATATATATATATATATATATATATTCTAGATCTAACGAGCAATTCTTGTGTATATATATATATATATATATATATAATCTAGAATCAAGAAAAATCGATCTAGCTAGGTTTCATTTTTAGAAAATGTCCTTTTATCCCTGTTTTCAGGGAATGAAAAATATTATTCGAATATGACGGTAAATTTCGCCGCAAAAGAAAATGTTATAATAGCTCGGTCGGTAATCGGGCGGCCCCAAAACAGACGGCCGTGGTTCGTGTCACGATCATTTACACACTCTTTTTTTTTTTATTTATTTTTTTCGATTCCAGATCATTGCTTTCTTTATTTTTAATTTTTTGTTGATCCAGATGATTTTGTTTGTTTTTCCCTTTTTTTTAAGTTTTCTTTTGTGAAAAATACCACTTCATATTTTCTTATTATGAGGTGGGTAAGATCGAAAAATATCCTGCATATTTCATTACTCAGTAATTTGTATCTAAATGTAATTTCCAAAATACACGATTTACAAAAAACAAAAACAAACCGAGCAAAGCTCGGTCTTCCAGATACTATAATACATTAAATCAATAAAAAAATAAACATAACACACTACCATGTCTAATTAATTATGGAATTTCGACCACTTGGCGACAACTAGTATTCATTACTGTGCGTTCGATGTGTCAACAATAAGATAGAACGAGCCATACCCGACCGGTATCGGCCCAATTATCCACTCCAGCTCTATGAACTCCTCGCCTCTGTACAGACGGATCACTTGAGTGGCCCAGTCGCTGAACCTCTGTCTGATTTCCTTGATCAGGGACCCCCGGACCGCGTGGTATGACACCTTCTCCGTGACCTGTGAAAACAACACTCGCATTGCATAGCGGAGCAAGGTTTTCGATCAGGAATTCCTCTGCCCTCACACGTTATCTGCCTGTAACAAGACAATAAATACGAAAAATAAATACTTTCCTTGTAAAGTTTCTTGTCTTTTATTTCCTGAATAGCTCTACCACTGACAGATTTTCGTTGTTATACTGTACCCCTCCGGTAGAAAAAGAGTCATTACTTTAGGATAACATTTTCCTGTGTTGTGAAGACGTTTTACAAACATAAAATTCACGTGGACAAACCCAAACACCCAGATGCGAAACAACTATCTGTGGGTCACACAAATAGTTGTCCCGTGTGGGAATCGAACCCACGACCCCCGACGCCGAAGCCAATAACTTTGCCACTGCGCCACGGCGTCATCAATTTGACAGTCAATCAGTGAGTAAAATGATTCTATATTGATTTAAGATATTTGAATTGGCCTAAATTCACCTCTTGTGAATACGGGCAACGAACTTAATACACTTTATACTCGTGCAGAAAACATCGACATTTTTAACGTTTCCCTTTGTGTTTACAAAAAGAAAGTACTGAAGTCATTTCACACAGCGGTTGGGGACTTCTAAGACGTCGCATTTTTAAGGTCGCATTTTTAAGGTCGCATCTTCAATCAATAGAGACGGAGAGAGTGCACAGGAATTGTCCGAAACACTGACCACTTTTTTAAGGTAAAAAAGTCGTATTTTTTTAATTAATGATAAAAAATAGAATTTTGCAGTACCACATATGTGCCCAGTGGACAGCGACTAGGCTCACAACCTAACAAGTTGTGGGCTAAATAATTTCGGCGATACATGAATATATAAACAAAGAAATACATGGATTTATAAAATTCAGAAACATGACATTACGCAGTCCCAAATTAAGCAAAGCTTATGTTATGGGTACTAGATAACTGATAAACATACCATAATTTTCTAAATAAATAAATATTATTGATAAATAAATACCCAGACACTAGAAAAGCACTATGTTCATCAAACATTATTTGTCAGTAGCGGGGTTCCATCCCCCGCACACCTGGCACAAGAGACGGGCTTCAAGTGCCTCTGTTAACCCTGAGATTGTAATGCCGTCCATGATAAAGCTACCTTGGAAGATTCAAAGTTATTGACAATACATGCTATTTAGAATCTCTTACAGGAATGGGTCTGTTCTTTGATGGTCGGAAACTGTATGCGCCAGACTGCAACGGCTGCTGTGTCTGGCTGTAGTAATAGAAGTTCTGCGAGATCATGATCTTCACGCCGTCCACATGCTGGATGGACTCCAGTAGGCCGGTGTCCTTGTCTATCGTCACTTTAAGATACTGAAAATAAGGTTAAACATTGGAGGACGACTTAAAGGGATTTTTGTTAGGTAATAATTTCTGTGGCATTCGTGAATTTGAAATCATCAATGCAATGTAAATTCAGTCCCGGAATTACGGTTTCGGTTAAATAAAATTCGCTACACGTAGGATATAATTAAAAAAATTAAAAAAACCCGACTGAGTTTCTGTGTAATTTTTTACTTTGATATAGATTCGTATTTCAAAGTAAATACGAATCTAACGACACCTCTCAAGCTAAAATCCATCAAGCCGTTCAGGCTGCAGAGCATGCCAAATAATTATACAAAAATACATAAAAAATTGTTTCAAATGTTTGATTACAGCACTCATAGTCATGGCAATGGCTGAGTTGTTACGCGGAATTTTTATTTTGGCTGAGTTGTTTATTTTTATTGTATAATACTATGTTATGTAAATTATTTCTGAGTTACGCATTTTTGGATATCGAATTCACAGAAAGTCTAACAATGGGCGAAGTGAATCTGTACTATTTCCCACATAATGAAATGTAGCAACTGGTAGCAACTCTAAATTTTCTTAGTGAAATAAATAATAAATAAATAAATATTTTAGGACACATTCTTACAAAACATTTTCTAGTCCCAAACTAAGCAACGCTTGTACTATGGGTACTAGAAAACTGATAAACATACTTAAACATACTTTTCTTTTGTAAATAAATACATATTATAGATATATAAACACCCAGACACTAGAAAAAACACTATGTTCATCACACAATATTTTTCCAGTAGTGGGGATCGAACCCACACCCTCTGGCGCAGGAGGCAGGTACACTAACCACTACGCCATCCAGGTCGTCAAGCTTTATATGAAGCTTTAAATGATGTCATGTCTTGATCGCTGACCACTCAATCATAAGAATAACGTCAGTCAAGAGAGAAAAGTGAAGTAAACTTAAAATGAAATGTTTCAAATTGAGTTTTATTAAAGTGTAAAGACTTTTGAATGTAAATATAATTGATGTTATGGCAATTTAGTTTGAAATACCTCATTAGAAATTGTCGGGGCGAGTTCCTGGTCTGCCTCGAGGTTGTGGTGTGACTTCTTCGAGAATGTCGAATCCTCCTGGACATCGAAAGCTTAGATTGTGATTGCTATACTTGATTTGCGCGTCAACCAGATTACAATATAAATTATTCCATTAAGTGATGTGAATCTCGGATTATTTATGCTAGATTTGGAAATAGCCATGCAGTTGATTCTGAAGGGGTTACTACATTACAGTTGCACGTGTATACTACTACTACTACGTGTATACGTTTCCACTGTAGTAGGGTATATGAGTAGTATATACATGTTCGAAATATTTCTAGTAGTGGGTCAGACATAATATATAGAGTTGGGCATTTCGTAATGAGTAAGAATAATTCTATTAAGTAAGAAGCCACCCATGAAGGTGTTTTCAACGGAACTAAAGTATGCATCGTTGAGCAAATATAATAGTTTGAAAAGAGTCACGAATCCAAATTCGCGATTTGCAAAAAATATCATAATTGCCACAGCTACGGTTGGTTAACTCAGTTGATGATTTGCCAGAGTTGTATCGATTAGTGCGTGGACAAACAGAAGATGTACGCAAAGCGTGACAGCCTCGGTACCGGAACCCATCCGCCACTTCTGTTTAAGTATATAGTTTAAATCTATCTAAATAATTGGGCTAACTTAATTTGAATGTTTATTATTTTATAAAATGAAATGGATTATTTCATTTTATAATAGATATGTTCGTTCGTGTTATATTCGTGCGGTCTATATGAAATTGGTGATTAGATTCTTTAAATGTGAAAAGAATTTGCTTTCTGTCAACAGCACAAGGATTTTTTACAAGAAACCTTGGCTCACGAGTAAATTGTTTTTTGCATTACTTAATGACGTCAATGATATTTTGAAGGTTTTTAGATCACGCCTTTCCCTACGCATTGGAAACTTGTCGTATACAACGAGTCATAAAAACCAATGACTAGTTACAAAATAACGCTCAATTTTTTCCGAGGTAGAAAGAGATAGTCTTGTTGTCCACGGAGTTTAAATTCCGAAACTTAAAGCCATTGCTTAGCACGAAGAACATAACATTAACGTACATGGACACATGAAAAAAAAAATGTTGCAACATATCGGAACCGCAGTATATTATTATCTGAGCTGTTAATTTTTAAATAACAACAATGATATTTTTCGATTTTAACGCTGAAATGCAATACAGAAGGCAGTGAAGGAATGCATCATGAGGAAATCTGCATATCTAAATAATAACAGAAAAAACATATTTTGCTAAGATAAATGTATAATTTTTAGTTTTGTGAAGTTTGTTTTTATACGTTGCTGCTTGTTAATTTGTGAGGCAAATTCACATGAAGGCAAGGATGAATTATATGAGGTTTTTGGAAGGGCAGCATTATTTTTCTGCTGAATATAAAAACATCGATAGTTGTTAACGTATTAATAATAAATTCATTCTTGATCTAGATGTGAAGTTCTTTAAGGTGTTTAATATCTGTTTTATTCATCGTCTTTCAAATGGAGACCTTCAACACCTGACAAATAAAATTCTTCTTCTATTTCATAATTGCCTCAACCATACGAAAAAAGTAACAGCCTATACTAATTGTAACTGCTTGGCAAAGGCCTCCTTTGTACAGAGGGTATCACGTCATAATCAACCCACCACGCGGCCCCACTTCGGATTGGCGGACTTCACATATCTTCGAAATATATATTTTTTTGTTATTATTTCAAAAACACGCAGTTTCCCTAACGATACTTTTCCTTTACCGCTGAGCACGTGATAAGTCAGCACGTGAAATTAACAATTTCTTCGGTGCCGGCACCGGGGATCGAACTCAGGTTGAATAGTCGAGTATATTGAATTAGAATCGAGTGCCCGGACACTGGGCTATGAAAACAAATTACTAATGGGTCTCTTATCGGTGCAATGTAGTACGCCGTGTAGCCCAGCGGCGGGATGTTTTCAGCCTCGAAGCACAGTTCCTGGATCGCGCCGGAGCTCCTCCCGGGCAGGTTTATTACGGACGCCGGCAGGGGTATCAGCTGGTATTCCACCTCCTCGTCTAAAACAGTCACGCGCTCTGTACAATCTACATCTGGCTGATGGAAACCGTTGAATTCGTCGGTTCAACTGATACTGTCGAAATACGTTAAGCAGTACGTTAATACGATGCCGCGTTGCAGTACTTTTTGATGTACAAAAAACAGAAAGAGTACATACGGTTGCTAACCTGATCACGACCAATGCTACAAAAGGAAACTTACGCACAGTCTGATCCAAACTGACAAAATGTGTGAAGCTTATTTTTTCTTAAAAAAAAAAAAACTTTCCGTTTTATTAAAATGTTTTATTAACAAAGTGGCGATGACGCAAGTAGTCTATGATCAGCCTGAAGTTTGTGAAGTTGTTTTTTGTAATGAATAAATAGTGATGTGGTTTCTTAAATCGGTAAAGAGTAATTTAACCTGTTACACAACGTGTGATGGTGTGATAAAGTATTTGAAAATGACTTAATTTTAGACTACTAGTGACCCGCCCCGGCCTCACTCGGGTACAATATTATATATACAATATAAACCTTCCTCTTGAATCACTCTATCTAGTAAAAAAAAACACATCAAGATCCGTTGCGTAGTTTTAAAGATCTAAGCATACATAGGGACAGACAGACAGGGGGGCGACTTTGTTATTTTTTATAGTATGTAGGAATGCACAACTAACCATTATAATCGCGTATCGAATAGTGCATCGCTATAGCGGGCAGTCTGACGTGGTAGTACGTCTTCACGCTTGACGGATTGTAGACCAGCAGCAACATAGTGTCCTGGCTCTCGGAGAACTGCGTATATATTTAGGACACATTAAAGTAAATATTTTCACACATTTTTATTGATTCATCATATTTTATTGGGCACATTTTTACACAACGTTCTCTAGTCCAAAACTAAGCAACGCTTGTACTATGGGTACTAGATAACTGATAAACATACTTTTCTTTTGTAAATAAATACATATTATACATATATAAACGACCAGACACTAGAAAGATACTATGTTCATCACACAATATTTTTCCAGTAGTGGGGATTGAACACACAGGGAGGCAGGTACACTACCCACTACACCATTCGAGTCGTAATGAATAATAGTAATATAAATAATATATAATTCACAAATTGTAATATGAGAACACACAATGTTTTGTGTTATCTACATTTGTTTCTAACTTAATCTTTCATCTAGATTGCCCTTTTAATGTCAGTTAATGTCCTTTATTACTAATGGTACTGAAGATTTTTATGACCATTAAAACTTTATCGTTTGAAACAAAGAAGTGATGTCAAATGTAGTAAATTAACAATATGAAAAATCATGTTTTGGGTGTATTCGTGTACTCACCCGACATTGGCTCATGTTTAGCTGATGACAGATGATGAACTGCTGACTGTTTTTAGACCGCCTACTGCCACCCCATGTTGGTGTTAACGAGCTAGATTTATGAATTAAATGGTCAGAGGCACATACCAAGGGTAACAGGAAATGACAACTTAAAATGGTCAAGGTTAAAATAATTTGGAAAATCCAAAAGTTCACGAATAACACGCAAATTATATTATACGTGCAAAAAAAGAGAATAAACGGAGTAATAATTAAATTTAATGGATTTTAAAAGAATATCAGAGAAGTCGATCGACTTTCTTTAATAATGTTTAAACGGAGTTTAATAACAAAAATCAATAGGGATCTATAGGGAGAGAATAAATAGGAACTTATTTAATAAAATGTATTTTAATTCATTGCTAATATTTCTCGTAAAACGCAAAGAGGTAGGTGACGCACGTTACGATAGTTTAAGAACGAAAGAACGATTTTATGTAGCGAAACTGGAGTATGCTCATATTTCGAGAGTAACGCACTTTCACACGCCGTGCCTTGTGAGTCGTGCAATATACTATTTCATAATGCTCTTATTAATTCTGTCGAAATTAAATGAATCATCTCAAGAAGAGTCAATTTTTATCGGTTCTTAGTTATTAAGAAATCATCACAATAGAATAATCGTCACAATTGTGACAATTATTTAGAAAACGTACCTTAGATATTGTGAAACTTTCTTGGAACACGAATCAATGGCGTCCGTCAGAGTTCTTATAAAATCAACAGTCACGTGCTGTTGACTTGTCCCTGGAATGTGTCATGAAAATATATACGCCTTTAGTAAATCAAAGGATCCTAATAGCAGTGGCCTTGTGCGAGAGAGGGCCACGCAACAGTCCTCTCTGTTGCCCGAATGGGTAAGCACCACGAAATTACAGAACACTGGGGTGAAGTGGAGGTCGTATAGACTTCTGCGTTTCGTGTGATGAGTGAGGAAGTGGAGGCCCACTTACAATAAGGTGGCGACGCATCTGCAACTCTACGGGTGTTGCAAATGTCAATGGGCGGCGGTTATCACTCAACATAAGGTCACATAAAAAAAGACAATTTTAATTTATATTCAACATTAGCGTGTCTTATGTCTACATCTGAAAGTAACAAAGACGACGAGAATCGTCGTAAACCTACCAGTAATTGCGTCGTGGTGAAGCAATAGGCTCACGGCGTGTCGCAGTAGATGTAGCTCGTAAGAATCGCCCATCCTTGATATCACCGTCAACTGTTTCACAACCTGCAATGTAGAGTCGTGAAACGAGATCTCGATTCAATTTCATTGCGAATATACCGTATCGAGGTTCGCGTCCTGGAGAAGCAATTGTGGATGAATCTAAGCAATTTTTGCATCCGTATAATCCATCACATAATTTGTGTCAATACTGTGAGAAAAGTAAGTTCCAAAAGTTCCATCCAACATACATCTCTCGGATTATACGTCCAGACTGTCTAGCAGTCGTTTCATGCGTCTATTGATTTACAAATGATATACATTATTATACCAGATTGCCGCCCAAGTATAGATATGAAAAAGGAAAATGGAACCTACTCGTCATTTATTGTGAATTTTATTGAATATCGTCTACGTGAAGCGACAGGCAAAAGGCTCGACTACTTAAAAAAAATTCCACTAAGTTTTGCTGTCCCCCAAATTTTGCGTCCTAGGCCCCGGCCATTCGCCCTTGTATGTAACTCCAAATCTGTGCGCAACTGGGAACATCCCATTTGTAAAGTATAAGTAATATCCCAGTTATAAAAATAACGTTTTTTTTTTGTTTACTTTCGCGAATGTTCCTGTTAATTAATTTAAGTGTATTTTAGAATACATTGTTTCATGTCGTTTAGCTTAATTTAAAACTCCAGAACTTTCAAATAGTTTACAGTACTCGCGGGGGACTGATGTGTTATCTGTTTTCATTATAAATATGACAACCGACAAGGGTATAATTATGGATATACTGAGCTATTTTAAAACTTAGGAATTAATATCAAATAAAACGTCCGTAAATACTATCATGTAGGGACAAGAAATTTATCATGTTCACCTGAAGAAATACGTGAGATTTCCTAGCCAAGTATTTGATACTTGGTCTCGATGTGTAGAATCCTGTCCAGTATGTCGTCGCATCGCTGCCATATGGTAAATAGTCACCCTGAAATGTGGAAATTGTCCTTTAGATCAACCGAACATTATTTACACTCTAATTGCGTGTGCACTCAACTTAGTGTCATAAACATTATGACAATATTTATTTATTTATAAAGGTACACCGAATACATGTTCAATAAAAGGCGAACAAATCATTCACGAATAGGTAACTGTATACGGGCTGTACAAGAAACTAATTGTAACCTAATTTACGTTATTTTTTAACCTTATTTATCTAAGAACGTTGTGTAAAAAATATGTCCTAAAAATATTAAAAAATACTCAGGAAAGATAACATATATGTATATATCAATGAAAACATTATAAATATAACTCAGTCATTTCATAACTGTCTAAGTAATTTTTTAAATGTGAAATAGAATTATGGAATATGCCAATCGATTGGTTCCTGCAGTCAATTCTGTTATAATTGGAGAACATACGATTAATGCGTGAATTACAGGCAAAATTTGTACGTGTACTTGCAACACATAACGTTTTACTGTTTTTACTCGCTCTACAAAAAGAATTTCGTGAAACTTAGAAGCCTGGGGGCGCCGGTTTCAATATCCAATCTACAATAGATTTGGTTACTAGGGATAGGTTTTATTTGACATTAGCAACACAAATTTAAGTTTTAGTTTCAATATTAAATCTACAAATCTGTCTGTAGATTTAATATTGAATAATCATATTATAAGTGTTGGCTAGTTTTTTTTACGAGCAGCCGCCTCTGCCTGTTGTCAACCCTACTCCAGACCACATATACCCAGAAAAATTATATGAGGGTCGTCCAAATACTTCTCCCGTGTAGGAATCGAACCCAACAGCTAAGCAACTGAGCCACTTTTGTGACTGAAATAATAGAATAATAAATATACTTATCATACAAGATTACTTAGTTTTTCACGAATTGTTAATCAGGGTATTGCAAGTGAATGACTAATGCTTGCTTTTTGAATCTGACTGGATTTTACAATAATGTAGTTCATCACCTTCTCCGTGAAAACTGATTTGTCTCGTCTCCCATACATGTATATAGCTTTCAAATAGCATGACGGAGAGGAGTAGAACACGTTGACATCTGACAGGTTAGCGGGATGTGTCGTGACGTGGCTGTTGACAGAAAAGTTATGTTGAAAGCAATGACGTTTAATAATAAAGATTACGCATGTCCAACTGCGTGGCGTTTAAAAATTGAGTCGCTTTACATTATATGACATATATAAGAGGAAATGACAGATGACATAGAACGTATGATACGGAGAGAGATAGCATCTACAGAATGGCCTAATGTCATCATGCTGCGTGGCGTTTAAAAATTGTTCCACTTGACTCCAGTGTCGATTTTTTTTAGTTTTATTTAATTTAAAGTTCTCAATTATGTTATGACGTTCTTTAAATAATTCTACAAATAATATTTTTATTCATTGCGTTGAAGTAATTCTATTTTAAAATGAAGGCAAAATATATAATATACTCTTAGTCTAAACTCTAAAGTATATTTTTAATCTTCAAGGTGCTAGGTTAAGCGGGATGAAGACGAAATGGACATTATCACTTTTTTTAAACGATCTTCAGTATACTTTATAGATAAAGCCCAATTGTATTGTATACCAATTTCTAGTATTGTTAAATATTACTGACATCGTTTATGCAGTTTAAGTGTTTGTTCCTCATTACTACTCCAATTCACGATCTTCAATTTGTTACGCCCAAAACGTCAGAGCTTAATTAGTGCAACGATGAAAACTTAGGAGGACATACTTGATGAGTTTATCAATATTCATGAACCAATTGGCGGCGCTCTGGTAGGTGAAATCTCCCCCCATGGTGACCATTATATTGTCGTGGTCGTAGTACTTGGCCTGTCGCTCAATCTGCGCTATGAAGTCGTTCACCTGCGTCGTAAAAGGAATATGAACGTATATTAAAATCGTTAAAAAGCAACCTCAAATTTCAATATTGTGTTACATAATTATGTAGCTTAAAGCTAACTCATACTAATAAAACGGAATGTTCCATATAATTATTTAAATTCAACAACTGGTATAAAGGCCTAAAACTAGATAGGCATATCTTTATATATATAATTCTTCTGTACGTGTGTACGTCACTGAACTCCTAAACGGCTGGACCGATTTTAATGGAATTTTTTGTGTGGATTCGAGAATGGTTAAGATTCTCAAAGTTATTAAAAATAGTTTGAAATTTTCGAATTTAAAACGTGTGTACTAAACCTCTGTCCGGTAAGCTAGTTATTATATATATATATTCATACCCTTCTCGAGTTAATAGGGTGAAAAAGTCTACGGTTTCGATAATAAATCATAATTTAAATAAATAATATTGTTATATTGTTTTTACGCGAATATTGTACATGGTAAATTGAAATAAATTTCACGGATTTTTCGCGTTTATATTGATTTTACATTTAACTTTACAGGTCACGGAACACACTATAAAAACTAAATTAAAACGCGTTAAAATCGGTAAAATAGTTTTATTTGCCCATAAAATAAAGAATTTTCATATTTTTTCCAGATACTTTTACGTGATTCCCACGAGAACAACTTTTGATCGTGAATTTTAAATCAAATCGTAACAAATAACTGAATAAATCGTAACAAACCTCAGTGAAAACATTTGAACAAGTTTTTCGCGTTTTTAAAGAATTTTCGAGATATTACGAAGGTACTTAATATTCGGGTCACGGTTCGCTGCGAACAATTATAGATACTTTTGAATCGATTCATAATTAAGCCTTTTTTCTTCTGTTTTCGTATTTATTATGAATTGAATGCTTGTTTTTGCCCGTACCCCGAAGCAACAATAAGCAATTAATGAGCAAAGAAAAAAATTAAATAATTTCAACCGAACTATAAGCCTGCGTGATAGTTTCTTATAGTAATTGAGGTGACAAAAAGAAAGAAATCAACAATAGATCATTAATGTTAACTTATCGGTGATACTTAATATGTATATGAAATCAGAACACTCGATTTAAGGAGCATATACAGGGAACTACTATGTTAGAACAGCCGAGACGCTTTTATTTAATGTTTTTAATAGACCTAATTCAGAAAAAAACATTACTTGTTGAGTCTGACAATTATTGCAATTAAAATTCCTACATCACAAAGTTATGAAATTCGATTATTCTGCTACAATGGCACGATACCGAACTATTTAAGCAATATGTGTATGTGTCTAGATCAGTATTTCTAGAATGTAGTATTTCTAAAATCAAACTAATCACTGAAAGTATATTCCATTGGGAGTGGAATGAAAACGCCATCATGTATATGCATAAACAATACTAGGAAAGTGTGTATGGAGATTATACATAATCGTAACACTGATAAGTGATATTGACTCCGTGACGCAGTTGCGAAGACAATGACTTCGGCGCCGGTTGGGGGATCGATTCCCACACGGGTCCAACTGCCGCCGGCGGTCTTTCCGAACCGTTACGACCTGGGAACCTTCAAGAAGAGAGCATACTCTTTCCTAAAAGGCCGGCAACGCATTTGTGCGCCCTCGGGTGTTGCAGGTGTCCATGGGCGGCGGTGATCGCTTACCATCGGGTGAGCCTCCTGCTCGTTTGCCCCTTTTCTCCATAAAAAAACAACTATTTGTGTGAACCACAGCTAATTGTTGTGGATCTGGGTGTTTGTTTAAGCGAAATATTTATACAGGGTGATATTTTTAGACGAAGTACATACTTTGACATAATGCTAATTGAGCATTCAATAATTAAAAAAAAATGTTAATATTTTATTTTGACAAGGAATAACCAGAAAGATATCAATTCAAACATTGTTTGTTTATCCCGTTAAGAGTGGTCACCCTATTGATAAGCGGTTTAGTAATTATGCGTTCAGCGAACAGTTTCAGTGCTCGTGAATAGGTTTGTATTGTATTGAGACGGTAAGGCAGGAATTTCTAATGGGGTGTCCATAATGTTTGAAAAAATTAAAAATAATCTTTGAAAAAAAATAAAATGAGGTCACAAGCCTACTTGTGACCTTTGATTTGATTCAAACATTTGATAAAAACCAGAATTTTATTCAAACTCTGAGTCTGGTATAGGTACCAGACTCAGAGTTTGAATCAAATTCTGCACATGCTCTGTTAATATGTCCGTCGTCTATAAAATCAGCCTGTATATTACAGTTAGGGCAATATTTTTGAATAATAAAAAGACAATTACAATGCTAGGAACATATCTCACCCAAGGGCGAATCCAGCTTTGGTGCCAGGGGGGGGGGGGGGGGGGGGTCACATAGTCGTGGTCAAGTGATAAGAAGTTATAATTTAATTTTATAATCATAGATACAAGTAAAAAGTAGGTATTTTTAAACGACTTCAAAAAGAAGGAGATCATCAATTCGGATGTTTATATTTTTTTATGTATATTATGGCATAGCTTCGTCATATATAGACGGATTTGCAGAACTCTTTTTTTGTTTGAAAGGGTTTCATTTCTAAATGGTCCCATATAAATTTCATATAGATTAGATGATGATTTTCGGAGATAGCAACGGAAATCTTCGAAATATGACAGGAAATCGACCGTGTTTGCTGCTATCTCATAAATATGCATTGCTTTGCATGTAACGAATTGTAATAGTTACGTACATAATTTGAATTTAACTAATTAAATAAAAATTAAACAAAATTTGTCACAATACAACTGCAAATGACTGATTCATACATTCAGAGACTTTTTCATTCGTTGCCACTGCGTAGCATTACAAATCTCTCTTTCTAACAGTATGTTTTATCTCTTTTAAATTCATTCAACCCATTCATATGCTTTGTGACCTTTAAAAATAAACTTTTCGTTACAATTTTATACGTAAGGGTGTTCTAAAATTGTTTGTTTTGGAAAATTTAATAACTCGGTATATACTGATGTTTAAAGAATGTAAATGTTTTATACAATTTTAAAAAGTTATCCTCTATTTATGTGTGTTCATTTATTGTCGCGGTTGTAACGATACGCTGTATATGTATGTAAGTACTTACTGTTAAAAATAAATTTTTCTTTTACGTCTTCTCCCGAAACGCGTTATCTGTTTAGGTTAGTTACCAGAAGTCCCACCTTTAAATTAGAAGAGCAGAGTCATTTTTAATTATTAGTATCTAGTCTCGGCAATTAGCACGTTTAACGGAATATAGTAGTAAATCGAATAGTTATTAGGTAGTATACCTATTGAGTAATGCTTTAGGTATAGTGTTAAAACAAACAAAACGGTTTTAACTTTTTTAATATTTTATAGCTTTTAAAAATCTATAAAAGTTATATATAGTAAAAAAAGTAGATTTTTGAAGTGCTCGTTCCTGAATAGTGCGTTTGGAATCGTACAAAAATTAAAAAAAAACTAAGTTTAAAAAAACCGACTTCAAAAACCAAACGGTACAAAATAACTTAATAAAGATTTAATTTAATGCATTAATTAGTATTTTTTTAAGTAGCTATTGATAGGCTTACTTATTTTTGAAATTTCTTTTTATTTATTTCCAGATTTTATGTAGTCGTATTGGTTATAATATTTTTCAGTTTCTCTACTCCGCACGCATATGACTACCTTCCAGTTCCATCATTAGATGAGACCCTGGTAATAATCTTAAAATAAAGTACTAGCCAAGAAGAATCAAACGAGCCGAAACTCGATCTGGTTGAGTCGTTTCATTACAGAGTGGTCATTGGAACCTCACAGAATAGCCTCATAGACCTCATAGAAGATCGGCGTAAAGTACTTCTGTGTTTTGTCTGGTGAGGGAGGTAGCCGGGGCCCACTTTATTATAAGGAGGAAACGCATCTGCAATCCTATGCATATGTCCATGGACGGCTGAAGATGGAGCTCCATCATCAGATCCTGGTTACCAATGAAAGGCAAACTACTCGTCAATACGATTTAAATGTACCCAAACGCGATGTGGCTCTGTCGTTTCATGGCGAAGTTTCTTTGGCCACCTTCCAGCTCCATCATCAGATCAGCACCATGTCATAAAAATAGATCCGGCAAGTGAATCAAATTTAATTTGCAAGATTTGATGACAAACATTAAATATTGTAAAAATGTTCATAAAATGAAAACTACTTGGCCAAAATATGTTAAATTTTTATGGTACCAAATGGCAACTATTCTGCATAAAACTAAAGAAGAATCACGTAAATCGGATCATAAATCTCAACGTCATCGGTGTACATACATCGAAAAAATATATACCAATCGAATTGAGAAACTCCTTTTGAAGTCGGTTAAAAATATTATATTAAAGGTACTTACATAAAATCTATATTGTGGCAAAACATATATAAAAACATTGTTTAAAAATTTTAATTAGTGGTCCACCTAGGTCCTGGACCCACAGCCCAGGGGGGGGGGGGGTCATGACCCCCATGACCCCCCCCCCCGATCCGCCCTTGATCTCACCCTGGTGTCAGCGTTGTAAACGTGGCTGTCAGGGTCGTCAACGATGGGCTCGTCGCTGCAGAGGAAATCGAAGCAGAAGCCTTCGGGTGCGTTGTATAAGTTGAAAAGGTTGTGGGTCATTATGTCGGACATCTTGCCTGCGAAAGACATTATTTTTTTATTGGGGAAATTGACTACCGATCGATTCCTCTAAAGTTAACCTCGTTACTTGACACCAACATCAGACGGTTTGCAGATTGCCATGCCAACTTTTGAACAATGGGACTCTAGTTGAACTCCACGCGTAGAAAAAATCATTAAAAATTCTCCTCCACGCCCCTGCCGAGCCTGGATCTGGGCTTTTCTCCATATGCAATTTGTGAATATGATTCGTCACTTAACAATATATAAATTGACAATGTCATCAAAAAGCCATCAATATCAAATTATTTCACTAACCAAGGATATTGCTTCCACGCCACATGAACTCCATCCTGTCTTCTTCTATCATCGCTTCTCTCTCTTTATGGTCAACGCGCCCTGAAATTCAGATTGTGGTGTAGTTTACGTTTTGAGTATTTATATAGTTTATTAATCTTTAACAGCTCATAAGAGTCAATAGCCTATTTTGTTGTTGTGACTTACTGTATTTTGTATGTGCATATTGCTGGAAACCGCATTAAAATTATCATAAGACCTAAAAAACAATAATAGTTATAAATTGACTTTGTTTGGTCCCGATGTTGACTAATTTATTATTTTTCTTCCAGTGAATTACAAAACAACAATTCGTTAGCTTGATACTGTCTTAAATAATTTAAGTCAAATTGTCAGGGTTCAATAAAAAAAAAACGATTTGATAATTAATTATCACTTCCAATTTCTTAGAGTAGAAAACGCAAACATAATTATTTTTTCATCATTAAGTAGTAATTCGCCGATCGAAATAGGTTTTACTTCGATTTTTTTTGATCTTCAATAAAAAAATCTTATATAAATAATAAATAAAGTAACTTTTTTTAACAATAAAATGCTTTGTGTGATTCTTAGCCATAAAAAATATAGTTGAAAATTACAAAGAATTAAATAAAATACAAGTGAATTAATAACCATATTTAACGTATAATTACGTATATATTTTTTTGATGGACCCTTAAAATAATTTTAAACTACTATGCAATGTATCCCCGAGAGAATTACATAGCCGTCACCCCAAACTTCAAGATTAGAAAATACGGGTATAGATAATCTAAAAAAATAATAAATAAGATTTTTCTTAAGTACCTACATATTTTATAAAACCCAAGCTTAACTTAGGTTAATTTTATTGACTTTGGATTCGAACTTAAGCTTAATTCAGGTTAATTTTGTAATATTGACTTTGGATTCGAACCTATGAACAACCCATCGTAGCCCATCTGAGCCAGCAAAGAGGCCTGCTCCCTGGTATGGCCGTAGGTGTCCACTTGCCACGCCGCCTTCGGTTTGCCACAAGGGCCCAGCGTGTCGTTGAGCTTTCTGCAACGTACTTAATAATGAATGTGTAACCCTTCTTAACTTTTCATCGCTTAACCACTAATTAACGTCTATTTAAATTGAAGTAATTTATGAGAAATGGATAAGATGGAAAGGGGCATTTAAACATTTTAATAACAAAGTAAAGTAACAGCCTGTACATGTCCCACTGCTGGCCTCCTCTGTACAGAGTATATTAGGGCATAGTCCATCACGCGGTCCCACTACGGATTGGCGGACTTCATATATCTTCGAAACATTTTTTTTGTTATTATTTCGAAAATATGCAGTTTTCCTCATCGATGTTTACCTTCGTCTCTGAGCACGATAAGTCATCACTTAAAATTAACAATTACATTGTTGCCATCACCGGGGATCGAACTCAGGTTGCCCAAATATAAGTATTGAATAAAAAGCGAGTGCCCGGGCAATGAATGAGCTATCACGGCTCTTAAAACAAAAAACATCTTGGAATATAACAAACACTGCCTTTTTGTGTATATTAGCAATTCAAAAAGAAAGTACCTTTTGGCATATGTAGGAAATACGAGTAGTTCTATTTACGTTAATATTATATCCTATTGACGAATATTTTTTTCTCTAATCCAAACATTTTTATGGACTATAGGTATTTCTCTCTTCCACATTTTGATCCACATATTCCTTATATTTACATTTTATTTTTATTTTGTAATTTTTACATCCCTTGCACCTACCATTACTCTCATCACATCCTGGACCGGTAGAGAATGGCCTTTGGTCGTAAAGTCCGCCATTTGTAACTTTTTTTCTTAAGGTTAGCAATAAAGCATAATTTATAAAAAAATATTGATAATCAATTAGAACTATGTGCGGAGTACATAAGATTCTATTATTTATTACCGAAGACCCCATGTGAACTGGTCGATTATCTGGAGGTAGTCGGTTGTGGCCTCGTCGTTCTGCACCCAGCCACCCCCTGCAAACTCCAGCCGGCCCTCTGCAACTAGCGCGCGGAATGTGGCACGCGTGGCAGGCCGCTGCTCCTTCCACCAGCGCCAGAAGTACACCGTCTCCGAGAATGTGAACCTGAACCCATTTTTGATTTTATAGTGCTAATCTCTGCACTTAAGATGAAACATTAAAGTTTGTAGAAAAATTTGAGATTTTCGTCGGTGTGGCTACTAGCCGTTAAGCGGGTTCGATTCCACAGGGGCGACAAACTTTTCGTACTTTTACAAATTTTAATAAACAAGTAATTTCATTTTAGAGTTTCATCGCAGTGATGCGGACATCATATTTTATGTCTTTATATTTTCGAGAGGAAAATAGGTGTTTCGGCAGATATATCCAAAAATTTTCGCTGTTGCTTAAGCACTGCTTTTTTTTAAATAGAAGTCACAATGCGTTAAGAAATTTGCGTTTCAGTAACATTTAAAATAAGGCATTTGAATCTTTCTCACAATACTTGTAATTAATTTTCGTATCACAATATGATTCTGCTAAAATATAGTTTGGGCATCTTGATAAATTAAAAAAAACATTCGCGTTATCTCATATTATTTCAAACATGTAACGCATATCGAGTATATTACAATTGAAATGGAAATAACGACACATTAAGCCTTGGCACAGAACTTTAAAACAGTAATATTATATAGTCTGGACGAAGATTACATACTTTCTTCTTTTATCGTGGAGAAGTTCGGAGAGAACTGAGTGATAGATGAGTTGGACATTTGCTGTGCTGACAGAGGTTCTTGCTGCAAATTGAAAAACGAAATAGATTAGGTTTATTTTTATAGAGATTTTGCAAATATGAAAATTGAGTATTGTCATTCATGGCTTTCTGGGCGCTTTCAAGGCTGCGTTTTCCATTCACTAAGTCGACAAAGGCCACGTAAAATGTTTCAACTCAAAACTGCTCTATTGTGGAGCGTTTGTATGAGCTTGATGGAGCTGTGTGACTGCGACCATAGTAGGAAAGTACTGTAGAGATGTGCCATTTTATCCTATTTGAAAATATCCCTGTCAAGTATTGTTAAACCTAAATGCAACTGAATATTTCTTTACTCACCTATACGTACAAGAATAAGTCCATATAAAATAATACAATTTACAATTTACTTATGTTTTATTCAATTGTGAACCGTAAAACAGTTATTATTACGTTAAAATTCATCCTATAAAGCTGTCATTTAATACACAAAATATCACGAAATCTTTCTTCTTTTTTTCTTTCAAATGTTTCTTAAATCACCTTCTATATTTAAGGAAATTGACAAAATGACCACTAAATCTAAAAGTCAAGAATTCTTCCATTACATTAATTTATCGCTTATTTGTTTTATAATACATTTCAGCTATTAATTTGATTGATTGTTTCATAAAGTATAATGTTAATAATGAAATTGTCGCAGGGGTTAAGATGTTAACTAAAAAAGTAAAGTGACAGCTATATGAACGTCCCACTGATGGGCAAAGGCCTCCTCTGTACAGAGGGTATTAAGACGTAGTCCAGCACGCGACCCCACTGCCGATTAGCAGACTCGCATATCATTGTCCGAGTGCCCTTCAATATTCTCGAGCAACCAGCTGATTTACGCGCACATCAGTGTACACATAGTGCGGAAACCTGCATATTTTGGAAATAATATGAAAAGGAAACGGTAACTTACTTCCGTAATAATATTCGTCGTAGGTCTTCACCCAGCCGGCGTCCATATGGGAGTGAGGTATCAGGTGAACATTTAACGCACCGTCCCGCGTAAGTGGACATTGCTGTGGAGGAATGTTCGTTTAATTTTAAAGACTTTACCATGGGCGTCCCGAGGGGAGGAGTGAGAGAATGGGAGGATTTGGTCCCCCTGGGCGCAGACTATCTCTGATACTTTACTGCCATCTATGCTCTTACCGGGTAAATTAATGATTTTCCTCTTTATAAAGGCACTCGTATTACCTCTCACTCATAAGTTGTTATATTAATCGTAAATATATGAACAAAACATTCATCGCTGTCCGTGTTTGGGGTCAATTATAATGTTTTAGGTGTGATGGTGTAATTTCATGAGAACGTAAAACAGATTGAGGCTTAGGTCAACTGTAGATATATATATTGGAGTGTTAGAGTATCCCACAGCTGTCATAAAAGGCGATCAAAAGAGGACACGGATTGACAGTAGTACGAAGTATCTTTTGACGACCAATCGCCCAGTCATCAAAAAAAGAGAAAAAAATTGTTAAAATTTGTTTTTAAATTTTTTAATGTAGACAGTTATGTTACTTTAGTGTTTGATTGATATAATTTTGAATTTGATTTAAAATCAAGGCCAATTTAATATTCATAGCCACAGACAAAGCTTTAGATATTATTATTACAAATTTTTAATGTCATATTGACCTTACACTACTCTTATTTAATATTTCGATGGTATTAATATAATTTGATGACTCCGTGGCGCAGTTGTCAAGGTATTGGCTTCGGCGCCGTGGGGCGTGGGTTCAATTCCCGCACGGGACAACTATTTGTGTTTGCCCACGTGAAATTTATGTTTGTAGAATGTCTTTACAGCACAGGATCATGTAATCCTACAGTAAGGGCATCGCTTTTAAAAGAAACAATAATAATAATAATTTGTGACGAATTTCTTATTTAGACCATAAAGTAAAGTAAAGTAACAGCCTATACATGTCCCACTGCTGGGCAAAGGCCTCCTCTATACAGAGGGTATCAGGGCATAGTCCACCAAGCGGGCCCACTGCGGATTGGCGGACTTCACATAATTTTCGAAATATATTTTTTTTTATTATTTCGAAAATATGCAGGTTTCCTCACGATGTTTTCCTTCACCGCGGAGCACGTGATAAGTCAGCACTTAAAGTTAAAAACGTCATTGGTGCCGGCACCGAGGATCGAACTCAGGTTGTTCGAGTATATTGAAATAAAGGCGAGCGCCCGGACACTGAGCTATCACGGCTCTTAGACCATATGATTAAAAAATTAGTGTACCTACTTCAAATTTCACCAAACAAATATAAATGCAATGGACATATAAAAAAACCTTGAGGTACCCTCGGCACATTATCAAATAAAATAGGTTTAAAAATGACCTTTTACTGTAGTTAAAAAATAACCTTAGCGAATTGCCGTAATTACTGATTTAAGACTGCTTTGTTATCAGTACGTGATACATTTCTATGTAAAAAACTTTTAAAAGCGATTGAAGGATTTCAATTATTTCGTAAGTTGGACCATTTTTACGGTGGTAGGGCCACGCAACAGCCTCGGCTGTTGCACGAATGGGCAGGCCAGTCCGGGTAAGTACCACGACCTCACAGAAGACCAGCGTAAAGTGGAAGTATGACAAATACTTTCGCGTTTCGTCTGGTGAGTGAGGTAGCCGGAGCCCAATTTTCAAAAGGTTGTCAACGCATCTGTAACCCTCGGGTGTGGCAGATGTCCATGGGCGGCGGTATTCACTTAGGTGAACCGACTGCTCGTTTGGCAACTATTCACATTAAAAAAAAAATATTTTACTAAAACAAAAAAATTTTAAGTAACAACAGTAACAGTATACATGTCCCACTGCTGGGCGAAGGCGATGTAATTATTTCTAAAATATGCACCACGGTTTTCTCAGCGCTTAAATTAAACGATTTCATTGGTGCAGGCACCGAGGTTTGAACTCGGGTTGCTCGAGTATAACGAATTTAAAGCGAGCACCCGGACACTGAACTATTACGGCTTATTCTACTAACGTAAACATATACTCGTAAAGTTATTGCCTAATCATTACGTCCGCGATTACGGGAAATATGTGACGGAAGAAACTTAACAGCATAGTCCACTTTTTAATTATATGCAAGATTACTTGTTTCCGTTGCCGTATGGTAATTAGTATAAACTAAATAAGCGTGAATTAACAAGAACATAAATGGTTCCGTAGCAATTTTCTGAAGTTGTGGATTACTGAAATATGATATTTTTGGTGGTTGTTTCATTTCTTTTTCCAAATTCGTTAACGCTAATTTGTGTTTTACAAGTAGACTTTATTTGAAGTGAATTGAGAATATGAGAATATGCTTAACATGTAAGAATATGCTTAATAAGATAGGGAAATCGTTAAGTAATCACAAGTATCAATCAATTTTGTTTGCAGAAAATAATGTCACAATTGTAGTAAGTCAATGAGGTGATGATGTCGAGGGACTTGTAGGTCTCAATTGCACATTTACTACATAAAAAGTCCTTAATATGATATAATATAATAAAAATCTAATGGTGACTACAATTTATTTATCCAACATTTACAACATTAAATCTATTTAAAATTACATAAATTATCTAAAAAGGTGCCAAGAACGCTAGCTGCATTTCCTCGCTGAAAAGTTAAGCTTAACCTTTGAGCGAGAAAAGAACCAGCTCTCTTGTCACCAGCCGCGGGGTTAAAATAAATAAGTTCTTGATACGTACCTTATATCCACATTCCGTCTTTTGTTTAATGTTAATCAACGATTGACTATCGTACACTAGATTAAGAAGTAAAATGAAAAGTCTACGGGACATACTTGAAACTATTATCACAATACTGCCCTATAAACACATCCGAAACTAGAATAATTCTTAATGGTTTTTCTGTTATCGACATCTATGGCCAAACTATTTCGTTGTTAGAATTATATTTTCGCATTAGTAATTTAAAAATTCAGCCATGACTTGTCGATTGGCTGCATTTTTCTTTAGTATCGGTTTGACCTTCGAAATTAAAAATTCACTTTTTAAAGATACGTTCAGTATGTGAAAGGATTTATCGCTGAATTAATGTTGAACTGGAAACAGATAAATTAATAATGGCACATGCCGTCCCACTGAAGTTGATTTTACCAAGGAAATCGGACGATTCACACCATGTTTGTATAACGACTCGTTCACATTGCAATTCTAAACTTTTTTTTATATCGCTGTCGTTGAATTTTTGGTCATTAGTTTTAGAAATATTATAAATTTTAATAAACAAATTATTTTCCAAATCATATTATTTATACTAGCATGCGATTCACTTGATGGTATATGACAAACACTCGTGAATATACAGGACATCAATGAAATGAAGGATAGAGTTTACAAAATTCTTTAATTTTTTTAATATTAATTAAATAAGAAAAGATATAAGAACCGACTAAGAAATGCTGGCATAGAACATTTTCTAGTCCCATTATTTAATTGTTGCTTGCATATTTTGCCTACAAAACTACTATAAAGCAAATTTTTGAGAAAAATTATCAATTGGTCCCTTTTTGTTCATAACTCGTGTGTCGGGCATTATCTCAAGTTCAGATTTAATTTTTCAGGTAATTAATTCTAATCTGATTGCGAAAAGACAGTTCATATAAGAGTTTTGGTCATATTGGGATGGTTAATTTTGGCATCCGTCTTCAGATTTCAGGCTGGGATCGTCGACTGTTGGCTATCGTGGGCCGTTGGACATCCGTGGTCAAAGCCTGAAATATTTCGTAGCCAGGTTGGTAAAATTCAAATAAGGAACGCGGGTGTAACTTGTGTAGTTAAGTTGGTTACGCCATGCTCTTGTGTTGTAACAGCGCGTGTATTTGTTATGCACTACCTGAAACATTCTTCGGGTGTGTTTGGGAAACGTAATATGCTAAAAGTAATGTATAGTAATGTAATATGCTAAAAGCTTATATCTGAACATCATTTTACTTCAATTAACTGTATGATATTAAGAAAAAAAAATTACTTGTGGACTTCCTGAAGTAATAAAGTCGCTCAGTAACGAATGTGGTTTCGTTTTTCACATTACTTAATGTTATAACGACTTTAAATGTATCACCTACATATGTTACCATCACCGCCCAAGAGATCGGCTTATCGATAAGAGTTTTTTGCCCTAACTTTAAGCTATTGCAACATCATCATTGAAAAGGGTGCGACAACGCATATAGAACGAGGTCAGTTTACGCCTTTCCAATTATGCTCAGTAAAGCCAGACAAATGACGAGAGACGATGTGGTTCGAAAACTAAGGCTGCATAACAATTACCTATTACACCCCGCCCAAATAGCAATAATTCAATAACCGAGAGAGACTGGACAAAGTGAAACAAGTCCGTATTGCTTCGTTGGCTACTATTAACACTACTATAAGCAGGAGTCATCAGACACTAGACTTGTATAAGATATCTGTCAGTTTTTATCAGTCAAAGAGTATAAAATCTTGGTACAAGTTTAAAACGTTGCCGGTGTTTGCGTGAATACTCGGTTAATAGTCCGTTACTTTACGCAAACCTATTAGGGAGGTGGCTATTAAGTTAATTAAATCTCTTTAATCAATTAAAACTACTACGCGTAGAAGGTACACAAACCATTTGTCGGTCGGTTCGTCTAACTTGCCTTTCTCATATAATTTTTTGGTGGAACTTGTCACAGAATATACAATGAACGTTGTAAAGTTATTTAAGGGTATTTTAAAATGGATAAATTCTTTTGAAAAATTGTATTCGTAAATGATGATCAAGAAAGGTTATCGAGAGGCAGCCTCGTATTGACTGACCATCGTGCGCAAGCATGCGGAATTAGATGGATGCAGGTGGCTCGGGATCGTGCTTCGTCGCAGTTTGTGGGGGAGGGAGGCCTATTTTCGGCAGTGGACTCGTAATAGATTTAAATGATTCTGATTATGAAACATATATATTCTTAATGACATT